GTAGACCACCCTGATGGACAGGGCAAGTGTGGTGCAGATGTGCAGAATAATATGCTGATTGTTGCGTACAACAGATTGATTGATGGGGATATCCAGCTTTGATGGTCTGGGCAGGAGTGTCTAGTCGACTTGTGATTATTGACAGTCTGACTGCACAGCACTGCATTGATCAAGTTCTGAGACCTCACGTGCTCACTTCCTGCGGGCTTATGCTGATATGGTAACGTTCCAGCTGGACAACACTCGTCTCCCTGTAGCTTCTGTAGCAAAGGCTTTCATGCGAGAGGAGACTGGGACAGCTGTGCAAGCAGTACCTTACTCCCCAGGCTTGAGGTTCATTGAACATTTGTGGGATGAGCTTGGACAATGTGTGGCAACTGATATGGCCCAAAACCAGTGAACAGGGGTCTGCTTGTCTAGCACTAAAAGAGAAATGAAAAACCATAAGCTTATAATAGGGTCTAGCAGTGGCCACACACTATTAACCTGTGATTTTCAGTGTGAATTTTCACCCTTGACACCCTGTTGATGAGGAATGTTCAATACAATTGTCAGCCCTCTGCTACAAGTAGATCGTCATTTTCAGTAAAATAATTTGCATGTTAAAATTATTGGTCTATAGAAGACAGATTCTTCAAGTGTTATTTTAAGCAATTTTAAACCACAAATAAGAGAAATATGCTTTCTTTATACAAACTAATGTGAGTTAGGGAGTTCTCACAGTAATTTTTTCACCAGAATGAGGATCATGGGTTTGTCATTAAGACTTTCCTCTGAGCGCCACTATATGCATGATGCATCTTCACAAAAGAGGGCTTTGTAGAGTAGGTGACTTCAAAGAGAATGCTTAGTCTTGCAATCCAGCCAATTTAAGGAAGCTAAGATCTGGTGAGACAGCAGTTTAAACGACAAGTTCAGTGATCTGAGGTCTCTCACACCTACCATTGTTGTGTCTAGAGGGTGCCAAACATAACAGGAAAAAGCCCAAGTACACTATAAAAGTACATTAAGTACATGATTAACAATTCTGTCAGGAGGGAAATTCCATTTTTGTAATCTCCACTGAAAAAAAATATAAGGATGCAATTACAATATTATTAAAGTATTTGAAGTGGGGATTACATCTATAGTGTTGTCTCATTGTAGAATGCAAGTATTCTAGATGAAATACAGGAAGATTTGAACATGGTGCACAGTAGTTGAAGGAATCCCAGGTAGAGACCTGTAGCATGCTGGATAGGGTGATGTGACGATTCTCCTGGTAGATGATGATCCATGTGTGTAAATTACATTTACAGAATGCTCTTATTTTCCCTGATGATACCAAAGTATTCCTGCAAATTATAAGGTTCTTGGGATTAGAATATTTTAAGTATATATCCATCAACATGGAAAATACCCATTCAGAACACCTTCTCATGTGCAAGTGCAGTATTTAAAAGGGAACGTAGGCTGTTGTTAGAGTTGATGTTTCCAGCACTTTTTGCTGGTCTCAATAAGTCATATCCCATGAGAGTCATGTATTATTCTGGTTGCAGAAATGGCTGAAGAGACTAAAAGCTCATTGACATACATTATGGGCTAAAGAATATTTAGCTAAATGTATTGCTGCATATTGGCAGCCTGTATGGTGGGGCGAGTCACATGTTCCTTTGTCTCCTTAATGCCATGGAAATTAGGATAAGCTCTGGTCCAATGAGTCCATGTGGCTTGGATATGGGAGTTGCCTACCTCCTGCTGCCCTTCTGGATATTTTGTATCTTGTGTGTTTCAAATTGACCTTTCATGTAACACAATCCCATTTTTTAGCGTAATGTGTTAAGGTCCCATTTTTGTCGCAAACTTGGTTCTGTTTATGCTTGATTCTGGGAAGCCTGCTTAATATGTGGGTCTGTCTTGTTTTGGGTTTTAATAAATACAGAGGCTCTAATCTTGTTTCTCATTTTGATGCAACAGTTAAATATTTTCATGGAGAAGAAGATTAAATAGCAAAACTGATATGCAAACATTCTTATTTTCTTTGGCACTTTCCCACACTAAGATATTAAGAAATCTTTGTTTAAATAAATTGTTTCTAGGAATGAAATCGTGTTGCTGTTGACAGTGTAAATAACCAAAAAAACAGACATTCTTTTTTACCAGTAAGAGCTGCTAATCATTCTTAAAGTATTCAGTGTAAAAACATGCTGAAAATATAATTAAGGTAAATGGCATGCATGTAAGGATAATTAATGCCTGTAATCTTCCAAACCTGCTATAGAGATGTTGCGTTTTTTCAATTCAGGAGGTCATGTCTGAATGTTTAAAGTATTTGTTGGAAATGTCAGGGTGTTAGTTTTGCAAATAAAGTACTACTTTATTTTTCAGCTTTTATTTAACTTTCAAAATATTTTATTCTTTGTTTTAGGATTGTAGCAGAACTTTGGATAGTGTTTCAAATAAAAAAATGCAATTTGTGTTGCCAAGAAACTGAGATGTTAACTGCCCTTTCATAGATTGTTTTTGTTGGTGGAGGTGAAATGGAATTCAATTCCTCAGTTTGTTTGCCCAGTCTCACTTGGTTTAACCTTGTACTTGTACCGGAGGAATGTTTGTTCAAGTTGCGTTAAATCAAATGGAAGGTTTAAAGGTTGCATGGCAAGTAGGATGTTTCTTGTCATTACGAAAAGATCTGTTGTGTGGATATACGATGTGGCAGTTTTGGAAGGAACCATCACGCATGTAAAAGACAGTGCCATTCTTGTGCTGCCTGTGTGGTACATGGCGCGACATTCAGAACCCCGAGAGAAGCAGATTTATGTGCAGCTAGTTGAAAGTGGGAAAGCAGTTTTTACCATTGTACCATCTCTGGTATTTTATTGGGAACTCCTGTAGTTCCAGAAGGTCAGAAGTCAGGCGTTGTAAATAGGATTGGAAGATTGAAGTGGAGGGGGAAATTCATTCCCTGTGAAAACCTTAATGGGTCACTTCAGATCGCTCCAGAAATGGTCTCGAGTGACTGTACATCTGTTTTTTTACTTCGTTGGGTTTAATGGTAAGCAGTGTTCAGCCCAAATATATGAGTCCCTGCCTTCCAGAAAAACAAGACCTTCTTTACCTGGGGTCTTGTATTCTGATTTAACATACTAATGACATGTCCCAATAAAAATGGTTTATACCCTAAGTTCACTTAAAGAACAGGCATTGGTAAAGTATAGGATTGCAGTGTTTTATTGGATGTTTCATATTTCAGCAGCTAGCACCAGTTTCCTGTGTGTTACCGGAAATATATGGGGCTGACTGAGTTCAGTTGTCTTTTCAGACAGCTTCAATAATTTGAGGATGTAATTTGAGGAAGCTAGGGATCAGGATTAATTTCTGTTTTAGGAATGTACAAAACTGAAAGACGATTCTTGCTAGTCATGCTGAAACCATTATTCTTTCATAGTAAAGATGTGAAAAGCAAGGACAGATGAATTTTTAACTTTGTAGGGTAAAGGAAGAATAGAGGCTTTTTCAATGCTGGAAGAGGCCTGTTCTATTTCTGAAGAAAAAGATCGCATGATCTGGTTACAGTGATAAACAAGATTTCAAAAAGCTGATAAAAAGAGTCCGAAAAGAAACACATAAACACGTGATGGGGTGGTGTATTGTTTTGGTCCATGCAGACATTAGGAATCTCTGCATGGGTATTTTTCATGCCCTAGTATAGAATCAATAAAACCAAATCAATTAGTTTGGTTGCAAGAGTGTGTAAATAAAGTTATAATCCTTCCTTGTACCTGTTGCTTACCGAGATAGGCTTCATCTCCTCCATGACCCCGAATTAGGTAAAGTGGTTAGCCCAATAGGGACCAGTTCATTAAAACTCTGCTTTACTTGACTGGTAATCATAGTGGAAGCTGACTGGTGAGCAGTTTAAACTAATTTCTGCTAGAACCAAGTGCACTTTCCACTATAGCCTGACCATAAGTATTTTACTTTTTTATTCTCCTTCTGTGGTGTTTTAGTTAACCTTTGCCTTATTGTTAAAATAAATTGCTGTAAATCTATGGAAGGCATTTGCTCTTTTTCTGGTGGAAGGTAGAAGATATGGGAATTGGATAAACAACATCTTTCCAGATGTGCACATTTCACCTTGATATTGTGCTGTAAGTATGTCCGTACTGAACAGGTGCAGGTTTCTGCAAATCAAATGTTATTTCTTTTGCAAGGAAGTGGTGATGTGATGTTTATTAACACAGGCCCTTTAATCGATCGGTTGTAGTGTTGCAAAAGATATGTATTCAAACAAAGTATCTGAAGAAGTGGCTAGTAACAAGTAATTGGTTGAGTGGCCATTAGATAATTTAGGGAATATGTTAACAGTTAGACCTCTGCTTCATCTTAACAGCCTTGAGACTCAGCAGCGCCTCTCCAGAAGATGGCCTGTTGTGGTTTGTGTGATAAATGTAGCTGAGGTATTGTAAGTGCATGTTTATTAGCCATAAGTGTCCCATTCATGCATGAGTATGCAGGCAGATGCTGAGGCCTTCCCCCTTGAGACTTTGCCCTTTGAATGCCAGGGAAACGGAAAAGTATTCCATTAAACTCTTGATTTCTTCACCCCCAGTGGTCCCAGGGTTTTTAGTTGCCTTCTCATGTTCAAGTCGGTGTTTAAAAGTCTCTTGCACATAGCATAAGAGAGGGCTACCTCTTGTTGTGTAATTTTGGGGACAGCAGTATTTTTGCTATGGTTTTCCTGGACCACTCAAGCTCTCCATGGTCTCGGAGGCAAAATGCTGTTCTTTTCAAACAGTAGGATACCGTTCATTAGAAATTAGGCCTCAATGCTTCACGTTTTGAATTACGGCAAGACTAGCCATTTTCTCTGAGGTACTGTAAAGTAATCAGCGAACAGAACAGTGGTGCTGTATTAATCTGCAGTGTTAATTAACATGGCATCAGCTGTGGTGGTGTAGAATTCTGTGAGATTCTATGTAAATAAGTCTTCACCATTAATGACACCTCCCTTCTTTCAGTGCTCCCCACTTGCTCCCCCTTGGACTTCCACTGTGATAATGGCAAGTGTATCCGGCGCTCCTGGGTGTGCGATGGGGACAACGACTGCGAAGACGATTCGGACGAACAAGACTGCCGTAAGCATTTCTCTTTTTCTTTGTGGAGTAGCACTTGTTCTGTGAAGCTGTTTATGATCTTTTAATGTAAAGGTTAAGAATAAAAAAGCATGCTTCATATTTCAAAATCAGCCCTCTTTTTATTAAAGATTATGATTTTTCTCTGGAAGGTTAGCACCTGATTTGTGGTTACACTTTGGCTATGGAACATCTGTACATAAAGCTTTTGTCCATAGGATTATGTGGTCGCAAATTCTAATGTCTGTGAATTTGTCCTCCTTTAATTTATAGGAAGTGTGAGAGATGGTGATTTTTGCCCATTTAGCCTTTATGGCAGCTACTAGTAAATTAATAGTAACTAACTAGTTGCATAGATATTATCCAGTCATTTCTTCAAAGAAGATGTGTATACAAGAGCCGGTAACCAGTGCAGCCACTGCACCTGTCTTCTGGGGATGTTATGGGTTGACCTTTGCCTGGAGCAGTGCTCAGTGGTTGATGGGACACAGCTGGAGGAGACAGCTCATAGGGGGCTTGTAAAGGCTGGGAAATAACACACAAGGTACACAGCATTGTGTCTTCATGTAAGCTACTTGCTGTTATCAAAGCTTTCTGGCTTTCTGAAGAATGCCTGATGCAGGACGAATCTTGTGCTCTGGTTGCTGTGACAGCTCTGTACCTTATTCTGTAGATTCTAATCTCTAGTGACCTAGACGTTACCACGCAACCAGGACTGCACTGACAACACAGTACAGACCGTTACCATGTTACTGCATACCTCGGCGATATGCAGAGTGACAGTGGTTGTATGGTAGTTCACTGGCAGCTGCTGTAAAAAAACACTACAGACTATTCGCCGCTACCACAAACGTAACAGCCTATAGAAAAAGAACTTTGGCTGGGAGATATTCATATAACAAAAGAGTATTTGAACCAATCACAATGGACAGTTTTTGACGCCTCTCAGTAGGTTTTGTTTTTATCCACAATATGCAGCAAATGTTGTAGCTATGCAGTAATCATACTGTGCTGTGATGGGCCATGAGTCGATGTTGGTGCACCCGTGGTCACTTGACAATGCCATGTAACCCCTCAGTTGTGCAGGGGTATATCAGGCATGCAAGGTGGTCTGACTTCATTCTCCATGCTTTCTAAAAATACGACCTGAGTGTGGAATAAAAAATCATTCTGTCAGGTGTGCTGTAGCTTTGTTTTCAGTAAACTTATTATTTGTTTGGTCTCTATGGCTTTACCAGGGGTTTGGCATTTGTGACCGAGCACTGCATGGATCAGGGAAGTAGAAAATCCCACCCTCTCCGATGGGAATAACAGATATTCAATCTAAGTTTACCTAACACCAGGAATTTCTATACTTCTCTTGACTGAGGAGGCCTGTTTTCTTCTCTTCCAGTGAAGTACATTTTGCCTTTTTTATATTATGGATTTTTTGTACCATCTGTTATGCTTTTTAGGTCTGTGATATTGGCGGGCCGATTCTTGCTCATTCCAAAAGTACTTGTAGCCAGCTTTTGTGGACATTTGCCATTGCAAGTATTGTAAATTCAGAACATGCTGCGCCTGGGATAAAGTAGTATGTCTGACCCATATTTTAAAAATCCAGACGGAGAAAGTGCAATGTTACGGGGGTCTGTCTGGCACGAGCCAGTGATAAATTTTTAATTTGAGTGTGCAGTACAATTTTCCTTTTTGTTTTGTCTCCTTGTTATTATTTAATGCCTTTTCTCTCTCTCACCCCTATGGTTTTTATTATTTAAAGTGCTTTAAGAAAATAACACATGCTTCAATTGAGCTCAGCAGGATGTAAAATTTTAAAACAACCAACAGTGAGTAACAAGCCTGAAACGTACCTTGTAAACAGTAATTCTTCAAGCCAAATGATTTGGATTCATCCAAGCTGTAAAATATATACTTTATGTGGCTTTGTTTTTAGTTTGTTTTATGTACGGCAGATTTTGTCTTTGTAAGCATTATTGTAAGGGAACTTAATCAAGCTACTATCGTCTGGCTTTTTTAGAAGTTAAGAATCTTGTAATAAGGAGCATTTACAGCATCTTAAGACATAATGAATAGCTGCTGATGACTTTCCATCTCCGTCTGTTCAAGTTTAATGATGTTAATGTGATTTTCTCAGGGTTATACTGGTGTCTGTCCTCGTGTTTTTTAAGTGGAAAAACATAACAGTATGAAAGATATTTTAAATGATATATATTGTGTATTGTTGTTGTTGTTGTTGTTGTTGTTGTTGTTGTTGTTGTTATTATTATTGAACCTATATCTTCAAAACATGTTCAAGAAGAGAAGGAAAAATAGTGACACTTGCTTTGCCTTCTACCGATGTGTTATTTGTCACTTTGTGTACAAGGCTGGGGTAAACATCAGGGATAGAAAAATAATAGCTCCCTAGTGATGAAAAAGGCAACAGTGTCCTTCTATGTGAAGATCAGTACAAATGGAGATAAGTTCAGTCCGGGCCATTGGTGTGTCACCTGACTACTAATCTGAAATAAAAATGCCAGGCCAGAATGTTTTTGATGAAATTGTTTTAGTCACAGGATCCACAGATCAGCATTGGAATTACCAGTTTCAGAATATGTCTTCTTTTTTCCAGTTTTGGACTTCTGGGAAATGCATTTGTTTTTTAAATGATACTGCTGTAGAGAGAAGAGAATGTAAAGTCAGTTTACAAGGAGAATAAGTATGTAATGACAGTATTGTTTAAGTTTCTTAATGTGTCAATAGGAGTCTAAAGGCCAAAAAGTATCATCATCCATCAGCTCAATGCTGAAGTATTTACTTCAGAGGAAATAAAGCAGAGTAATTGCATATTGATCTTCTACAGCCAGTGGAGGGGAGTGTGACAGTCCCTTTTATCCTTGTACTGTGTGTGGTACTCAGAGAGCACCTGAGTGGCCTAAAAAGGCTTTGCTACCAAGGACAAAATGAAACCCGTTATAGAGTACCTGCTTTTACAGAAAACAAAATGCTCTTGAAGAAGGTATAGACTTCCACAGGTTACTGGCTTCTAATATCTCAAAAGGACCTCAGCCTGCCAGGTTGAGTTTAATGACCTTTTCCCTCGATTATGAGGAGACTCAGATAAGGGGTCAGAAGGAGGCAGCAGCTCACTTGAAGTGCCGGATCCCGAGTGAGGTTTCAAAGAGCAGCGTTTTTTTTCAACTCTTTTTTTTTTTGTCTGCTCCAGCTCCCCGAGAATGCGAGGAAGACGAGTTCCACTGTCAGAACGGCTACTGCATCCGGAGCCTGTGGCACTGCGATGGAGACAACGACTGTGGGGACAACAGCGATGAGCAGTGTGGTGAGGACCTGCTTCTAAAGCCCTGTATTTCTAGGACTGCTGTGTGGGCAGCTTTGTCAATGGCCGCCGCATTTTCCTGTTTTCCCCGCTGTCTGTGACACTGCGTTTTCACCGAGGGCACATACCCTCATGAGAATGAAGTATTTTTAATCATGCAGCCGTTCTAGTAATTTCAGATTTGTTACAGTCATTCCTGCGGGCTAGATGGAAATGACATTACTTGTCTAATTTTAAAAATGGGCATGCAAACTGACACTGATGTCAAAGACGAGTTGAGGATATTGGGTTAAATGGTTTTCCCCCTGTGGAACTTCATAGAACAGAAGGCGACTGTCCTTCAAAGACATCTGTTTCCAGTTCTTTGACTAACTTTTTTCGAGAAGCTCACTTTTTTTTTTCAATGGCTGCTTTGTGAAGGCTTTGGAAACCCAAACTCCCAGCTTGACTGAAGTGCTTATCTTGGGAGTATTGCCTGGTCAGTGCTGTTTTAGTGTCGGAAAGTGTTAATGGACGTCTTTCCTTCTCTTTTCTTCCTCACCCACGTGGTCGCTGTAGCAGCAACCAGTTAACATCTGACCAGTTTCTTTGGAGATGACATTGGTTTCAATGTCATTGCTTTTTAAGCCCCATAATGAGGACTCCTCTGGCAGCTCACACTAACTGATACACAGCAATTAATTAGTTCCATCCATGTAGCGTAATGTACAATCTATCCAGAAAACCAATTTGAGAGTCAGAAGTTGGCATCTCTGTTGCTTGGATGTGAAAAACGATGCACCCTTGGTTATTCACTATATCTCGCCAATCCTGGTTGTTTTAGTTAACTATTCTTGTTTTACTGCAACATACATCAGGCAGCCAGACCTTTCCTGTATATAGATAAAGCAGGTGGAGGAAACAGCTTGGAGCTTTTTCACTGCTGGTAAAATACACAAATTTAAACTAGAAAAGTAAAATCCCTCATGGGTACATAAGCAGTCTTCATCTGGAGATGCCAGTATGATACTCACTATGTACTAGAGTTGTCTTAGTGTGCCGAGTTTTTAGAGGAAGACTTTTAGTTTCTCACTGTATTAGTGTTTTTTTTTTTTTGCAAAACTAGAGCCACTTTTTGATCTTTGAGAAAAGGACCAGTGAGCAATGAAAAATGTATGTAGTATAGTATCAAATCCCCACATTGTCAGCACCATCTTCAGTGGAATGCCATCTAAACCAGGAGACTTGCACTTTGGCAGAGATTGAGCTGTTGCTTTTAACTTCTACAAGGTTACAGCAACATCTAAAAGCTCAGCCTATTTAGGACAAAATTGAGGCAAATTCAATGGGTTTAGAAATCCTTAATCCTGACCAGGTCTGTACAGGATTAGATGAAGTATAAAACTGTGAAAAATCTTTGAAAACTTAATTAACCTGCATAGGGCTAGAGAGCCATCCTGACAGTCCTTAATCTCCTCAATAGAGGATTGATTCATTTTCTCATGATCTTATTGTTAATTGCCAGATATGGGATTAATCGTGTTTGTAATAGAAACTTTTTATGAGATAACCACCATCTGTTCATGAAAAGTTATTTAAAAATGGTCTTTCCCCACTTTTTTCCAGACATGAGGAAATGTTCAGATAAGGAGTTCCGTTGTGCTGATGGGAGCTGCATAGCTGAGCACTGGTACTGCGATGGTGACACGGATTGTAAAGATGGGTCGGATGAGGAAAACTGTCGTGAGTATTGCTCTCTTGAAGCTGCATTTTAAAAGATCAGTAAATCGATGCATTTGCATTTTCTACCGCAGACTACAGTGTAACAGATGGTTAAGTCCGACAGCGCTTGGTAACAGCTCACAAACATAATTCATCTCAAGTTTTTGAATGCAAGATATAGAAACAGTCTAGGGAATGGTAATGGGAGAAAAGGAAAATTTCAGAGCCCCCAAAAAATCGAAACATGCATTTGCTAATGCAGAATCACTCTCTGGACAGCAGTTTGTTTGCCGAAGGCAAATCAAGGCAGTTTAAAGTGGCTTTTGTTTCTTTTCCATGAAAGCCTCACAATTCTGTTATAAATAGCCTACTGTATTTTGTCAGGGTCACAGATTAATATACTGAAGACCCTAAATTTTATTTTTTCCCCACAGAATGTAGTGATGAAACTGCAGATTACAGGGGATAACAAAACCAGACTTCAATAAACTGGTTTAGTAAATTTCTGTGATGTAGTCTGGCACCTATAATTGGTTCCAGTTAACCTGAAGATTTCATTTTACAGCTAATATGAAGTTGAATCATTGACTTTCCTCTCCTTGCTTAGAACAACATTCTAATTTATTTTCATCTAATTTGTAAATGTAAGTGTAAGGGATAATAATAATAGTATTATTTATTTAAGCACTGACCAATCCCAATTCCTGTATACCCCATGCAAGAGCTCATTGTCCTGCTGAATGAAGAAATGGGAATCAAGATCTCAAGAAGAAAAAGTAAAAGTAATATAGTATATTGACATAGTAAGAAGTGTCGTTAATCCTGAGGTGAATTTAGCTTTTGGGCCTAGATTAGGGCCTTTGAATAATGGGATAGAGCTGCAGCACACACCTGGAATAAATGAGTGCAGAGCGCTCTAAGTGAAAGGAGCTCCATGTGAGGTGGAAGAGCTATTGACAGAGGTGCTCAGTGGAATTAACTGTGCCTCTGAGGGCAATCAAGAGGCTTGTAAGAAGCCAGCTGGAAAAGTAAGCGAGTTCCTCTGTATCTAGACTCCGGCAGAGAAGGAGGGAACCCCAAACTAAACTGGCAGCTGCTGTGTTAAAGATGGTAGTGTTTATGCAGCAGTGCCCCCTGACCAGATGGGTTCAGATGGGAAAGAGAGTTTTGGCTCTGTAGAGTGTGATCACTTTGTGATGAAAAATGTACTGGAAGTGGCGAAATGTCACTTCCATGATTATTTTGTCATCTGGACTGTTGGAGCTGAAAGCAGTTACGTCAGGTAGACCTCGCATAGAAAATTGGAATCCCTTAGCCTCCAGTTAAGAACACTTCTGGAAAGAAAACCAGAAGACAGCAGCTTCCCCAGGACTCAAGGTTGGGAGCCACGGCTGTATTTATCAACTTTATTGAATAAATCGTCTTGGACCTGTTGACACTAGTGGAGGAAAATTCCATCAGTCATCCATCAAAGTGCGTTGCATGAAGTATTTGTCATGTCGTAGCAGGTTTCTGGGGCTTTTTAAATGAAATTCCAAAAAATTGAATCGAAATTACCTACGGATAGGCCCAACATCACTCTTAAAACAAATCGCAGTACTACAAGCTGAGCAATATCCTACATTCCAGCGGGCACACGTGTATACAATAAATAAATAAACAGTAGATCAGTTTGACTTTTTGTTGGCTCTTATTGGGGAAAATAAGAGTAAGTGCTGACTTCTAAGACTGGCAGACTTATTCTTCAAAAAGACCTCTCTAGAGGACTTCAAAGACAAGCCGAAACAGCTCCATGCTGTCAGCTGGCTAAGGGCAGGCCTTTCATCTCTACAGATAAAGGCCCTGTCTGCAGATAATGAGTATTGGCAGGGAGCTTTGCAATTGAAAGCTCAGTGCTCATCACTTGAGGGAATTGTTACGATTCTCTATTTGTGTCCATATTTTGAGCAGAAGCACGTTTGCATGGGTATTTGAAGGAGGAGGAGGCTGGTGGGTGGTTGTATTGGTAGGAGGTGAGATGACAAATCCCTGCCAATATCATTCTTCGGAGACTGTTTGTTTAGAAGAGTTAGGAAATGGGGTAACGGGAAGGTGATTGCATGTTTAAGAAGCAGTGGTTATCTGGAAGTGTCCAATTTGTCATTTTCTTTTTTATAATGAATATTTGGATGCAATTTAGTTACCTGTATTTTGGTTTCACAGTAAGCACTGATCCCCAGATGTGCTCATCAAAACATGTAGTAACACCGGCCATAAAACAGCATTATTTTGTTTGATCTGTAGAAGAGCAATTAGCAAAACATGTTATTAAACCAGAGGAGCTTGGAACATGCGGTTGTTCAGTCACCTGTTTTGTTTAATTCAGCCTCATGAATATGTACGGATAACCGATATGGATTTATGGTCATACTTGCTAATGCACTAAATTATCCTGCTATAAGCTGTGGTAGTTTGAAATGAAAAGATAGAACTTCAAAGGAGAAGAACCACAGCCTGTATGTTGATCCCTCCTTTGTCACTGTTAAGGGTGTGTGCATTACTGCAAGTTATGAACTTCTATAGATACATTTACCATTCACTGATTCACCCCCCCCCCTTTGAAAACATGAGTGAAGAGCACTTGTGCATAAAAGATAAATATTCTATTTCAAAGCAGTGCTTTTCAAAGAGTTAAAAGAGAGGAAAGGATAAAAAGCGACTTTGTACAGTACAGGTGGTGATACCATTCTTGGTGATACAAGTTTTTTTTTCAGGGCCATGGTTGATTGTATGTTAATAGAAATGAATTCTGTGTACACCTGTAAAGACCAGCTGTTGTCACTAAAATAAGCTATTTCAAACAAAACACATTTCAAAGTTAGCTTTTTTTGTTTTAACATTCATTTTTAGGTAAAGGAGTTGTCTGAGTCAAGAGTGAAATTGTAACTTTTTTTGTACAGGAATTACAAATAAATTTAATATTGGCATATGCAGCACACCATTTATTTTGTGGTGCTCACGGTTTTGTAGTAGTTCTGTAGTTTTTGCTTAAAGAAAATCGTCTGTATGGTATTAAGGTTTGTGGTCAGCAACCTTACATGTTCTCTATGAAGTTTGTAATGCTCTGTCTTAAAACTTTTTATAATTTAGTTAGTAATGAGCAGATCTTAATTTGACAGCAAACGTTAACAGCCAAAGACTGCCTTTTGAAATGTTGCCCTTTTACTTTTCAACATTTTTAAGGCTTAGTTAAACATGAGAATTTGTACTGTTACATGTGCCATGTACTTTTATTGTGTTTTAAATTGTTTGATTTGTGATGCAGTTTTTTAAATTAAAGATCTTTAAAATGGTGACTAATTATGCATAATTGTTCCCCCCTCCCCCCATCACCTATTCTGCTCAGCCTCTGATGTTCTCACTGCAACATGCAGCGTGGAGGAGTTTCAGTGCGCCTATGGACGGTGCATCTTGGACATCTATCACTGTGATGGCGACGATGACTGTGGGGACTGGTCTGATGAGTCTGACTGCTGTAAGAGCCTATTCTGAGGACATTCTATATAAATCCCAGCATTGTGCACACTGTGTATAGTACACTGATTAGAGGCTTTGACAGCAAAACAGTTTTAGGAACAAGTTACTAGAAATAACTTATTACAAAGCTTTCAGCTCAGTGCAAGAAATCACTTGCCAGATCAGCTGCTTGTTTTATGTCTGTGGCTTTGTACATGTTTGTGTTAACACTAGAATCCTCAATCCTGCAGTTTTGAATAGTAGTGATATCCCGTGTGCAACACTGTAAGGGCACCCAGGAATGTTGCTTTACTCCTAGAAGTACTGTTTGACCTGACTTCCAGAGAGGAGAATCTGGACACTGTCCAGATACTCCATCTCCCAGTCAGCCCTGACAACCCTTCTCTCACCTCCTGTCTACAACCCCAACACTCTTAGGTCAAATTCCAATTCTGGACTAGTTGAACATGCAGCTGCACAAACTGACAGAATTACAGTGTCAGTACGACCCATTGGAACAGGCCGGTAGTTAACACAAATGAAATCTTGTGGTGATCCTTCAAATATGTGGATTGCAATATAGTTATAATATCCCTGTAAAAGCTATTATCTAACAGCTACACTTAAGTTAATTTTCATGGCATCTCATTTGTCCAGTAGTATAAAATGCACAACCAACAGAGACTGTGTCCACTATGTCTAAAAATAGTGTATGCAATTGTGAATATCTACAGGCATAGTCATTTACTTATGATTTATGTTTTCTTATATAATGTCTAAATTTATGTATGGTATTTATGTTAAGTCTGTACAGGTGGTGTTTTCTGAGAAATGCCCGTTTAATTGGCCATATAACACAAAAATCGAAAAGTCAGTGGGTTTCCTGTCTGTACTGTTCAATTTGATATCATTGAGCATTTGTGCAATTTATATCAAATTTAAAGACAATAATAACATGGAAGTTTATTTAGCAATTAGTTTTAAAATGACTTTAAATTGTACCCTAAATTTACTTTAAAATGTCTTTCTAAAATACTTGGGATGGCATGAAGGCTTGGGATTTGTTTTATTATATGACCTGTTTTGACATGAGTCTGGTATCCTGTGTTTTAACAATGGCATTGCCGTGTCTTAAAATTATTTGGAAATAAGTCTCTCTGCATTCGCTAACAATAGTGAATGCAGAACAATTAATTCTTCAGCTTTCAAGTGTACTGTAGGAGCATCAAGGATTTCTGCTCTAACAATTGTCCCTAGCTTAACAAAAACTAATTTTAATCCTCCCACAATTTTTTTTAATTATCTTTGGTTGTGCGGAGTAAGATATTTTACATTTTTGAGAAATTTGAATCGACTTCAAAGAACCCCCCCCCCCGAACAATGTGGCAAATTCACATTCCACTACAGAGGATACATCTTCAAATAGAATTCCTTGGCTTTGACTCTCTGTTGAAGATCCATCAAGGGTGCTTTGTTTGATCATACAAAGTTATACTTGGTGCAATCCTGAGCTTCTTGTTTTGTTCTTTGCGCGATGCGTCGATATGATACTCTTGCTCTAGGCGGATGTGGTTGTGCCCAAGCACGCAGCAGAGGGGTCAATGCTCTTAACAAATCCCCAAAATATATTGAAGAATGATGCCAGGCTTTTGTTTCCAGGTTTCAGCCTAGAGGATTATTCTCATTGTCAAGTCAGGTGTTGGGGGGGGGATGGAAGTTGCAGGCGGATCACGCTTAGGCCCGTTCACAGGTGGTGGTGTTCTTCCTTTCCAGCCTCACACCAGCCCTGCCGGTCCGTGGAGTTCATGTGCAGCAGCGGGATGTGCATCAACGCCGGCTGGAGGTGCGACGGCGAGTTCGATTGCGACGACCAGTCCGACGAGAAGAACTGCTGTAAGTAAAGCCTCCCCTTTCGGGGGTTTGCCTTTTCCCCGTGGAAAACGGTAACCCAGATAGGACCAGCCCGGGTTCCCCACAGCTGTGTCTCCTCACCTCTGCTCCGCTTTCCAGCGGTCTCCATGTGCACTGCCGACCAGTTCCGCTGCAAGTCGGGGCGCTGCGTGCGGTTGCTGTGGAGATGCGACGGGGAAGATGACTGTCTGGATAACAGCGATGAAGAGGGCTGTGAAAATACGGGTAACTTCAGTGTTCTTCAGCACAGGTCAACCTTAAAATCAAGCAAAGATGTTAAAAAATTAAAGGGTTAATATTTTTCACCTTTTTTTTTTTAAACGTGGGCCAAGCTTTAGGTAAACCTACAAAGGTGGGTTTCTCTTAGCATTACATCTGAGGACTCCGTGTGAGGCCTCTCCTGACTTTTCCTTGTACGAATAATGTTCCATTTTTCCCTTTCAGACTCTCCTCCGTGTGCCCCGGACCAGTTCCTGTGTGGGAATGGGCGCTGTATTGGTCAGAGGAAGGTGTGCAATGAGGTCAGCGACTGTGGGGATGGCACCGATGAGGGGCCCTACCAAAATTGCCGTGAGTGCTGTGCCGCAGGGTTAAATATTCAAGGACGAAGATCGTTTTAGCGTGGCAGAGCCTTTTTGTTACATTTACCTGTTCAGCATGACATCTTTTTTCAAGAAACACTCCTTATTATTGGTATAACTGAGAATGTTCAAGTCCATGTGAGCAGGAATTGGGATTTATAAATTGTATCCACTTCCCCTCCCCTGGTTACCCTTTTCTTCAAAATGTCCAGCGTTTTTGTTATATTTTGTCTCTCAAAAGACTACTGTTTTTGTGATAGAAATTTGAGTTGGCAGGACTGGTGGAAAAGAAACTGTCTGCACTCTCTGCAGTTCTGTTCAGTTTCTAAAAGCATATTAAAAAGGATTTCAAACTTGGATTCTGATGGTCTTTTCAAGCCCATTCAAATAAAGCACACTTTCAAAGTGTTAAGCAGAGTTGAGGGTTGAGTCTGCTGTGGGTGACCTTGTATTTGTCCTGTCCCCCCCCCACCAGGTCCAAGGTCTAGCGAAGGTAGCTGCAATCTGAACAATGGCGGCTGTTCTCAGAAGTGCCATATGGTTCGAGGATTGGTGCAGTGCACTTGTCACACTGGGTACAGGCTGATGGATGATGGAAGGTCATGTCAAGGTAACGGATCCTTAGTATATCCACTGCCGCGGTTTAATTAGTGTGCGGACGTTAATTGATTTAAATTCAATTTTTCTGCAGCCTAATCTGACTCGGCATCCTTACACTTCAGAAATCACGGTGAACAAGTATTTCTGTTGATAAGTTTTAAATTTGGTGTCACTGAAATATTCCCAGAATGCTACAGACCACTTCTGCTCTCTGGTTTAAAAAGCTTCGCACTCACTTTGACAGCAGCTAAAACATTTGTCAAAATGTCAGAGAGTTTAGACTTTACATTTTTTTTATGCTTGGTGAGTCAGTCAGACTTGAAGCACATGTTTTTCAGAGTGCTGTCACCCTAGATTGCACATTTCAGTTTCCAGACAACTCAAGGAATCGCTGGTGACATGTGAACATTTTTCATACCCTTTGCTAGTTTCCCTTCAGATTAATGGCTTTTTTGGAGTAAATCTTTACCAGCAGAAGGTTGATTTGCTGAGTAGCTTAAGAAGGGAAAAATTCCAGATGCTTCTGAAAAAGTAATTTGATGTCACTGTAATAGGGATAAACAAAAAAATGGATAGCTGTCTTTGACAGTACAGGACCTTAATTTAACGGATGGTCTTAATTGACACAATGAAAGAAGACGAAGACAGAGTATTATGCAAATATCCTATTTCGTTTTTATTTGTTGCCGTTTTTCACCTCATGAGCTATTGTTCCTATTTTTGATGAACTGAAAAGGCATGCAGCTGTGATGTCAATACACAAAAAATGGGACCACTTGCGAAACCCCAGTTCTGTCCTGCTCTGTGGCGGAATGCAAAAGGAATAACCTGAATCTCCTTTCGTTCTCGCCCTACATTGAAGATGTGGATGAATGTGCAGAGGAAGGCTACTGCAGTCAGGGCTGTACCAACTCTGAGGGAGGCTTCCAGTGCTGGTGTGTGCAGGGCTATGAGCTCAGGCCTGATAAACGCAGCTGCAAAGCCTTAGGTAAATGTTTGGTTTAAAAGACTCATTTAATAAATTGAATATTGAATATGTTGTGTATTTGTGTTTATCCCTCGACCTATGATTAATTTAGTCTTAATGTAGACTTGGGAGGAGGTGTTAAGTGTTTTTTTTTCCCCTCTTCCTCGTTTGTAAGTGCTAGCAGGGTTAGAATTTTCTTTTCAACTTTCACACTAGATGTTTATTGAATTTGAAATTGTTTAAAGAGATGGAAACAGTTTCTTTTGGCTTCAACTTTGACATAGTTAAAGGCAATACATCTTTAGAAGTTTGCGTCTTTTTTCCCTCCAGGGCCAGAACCCGTTCTTCTGTTCGCCAACAGGATTGACATTCGTCAAGTGCTCCCCCATCGATCCGAGTACACTCTGCTCCTCAACAACCTTGAGAACGCCATTGCGCTCGACTTCCACCACAGCAGGGAGCTGGTTTTCTGGTCAGATGTCACACTGGACAGGATCATGAAGGCCAACCTTAATGGGAGCAATGTGGAGGAGGTGGTTTCCACAGGCCTGGAGAGTCCAGGTAGGCTGTGGTAGAGAAACCAGTGTCAGATTAGGGTTAATGATTTGAATTTCCTCGGATGGGCCAGGTCTTAAATCATAATTAAGCTTTTGCAAACATAGCCACTGAAAATATTGTGGAAAATGGATCTGGTAGGTACAGGAGAAATTCACTTTTCTTTGATTTTTGTTAGCGAGTTTTGTACTTAAAAGCAAAATACAGACAGGAAAATCTGTAAAGAAATTACAGGAACACATACAAATCATATAGTGCTTATAATGCTATAAAGGTCAAAGAATATGTTCAGATGGTTATTTTCCTGTCTTTTACAGTAGTGTATGTAGTCTAGTTTAATTAGATCTGTTAGTCTGCATTATCTTAATGCATTGTACAGTACATTTAACTTTTTTTACAGGTGTTACAAAATTAAATTTTCCTACATCATTGTTCATGCTCTGGTTTTAGTAAAGCAAAATACCTGTACTATAGTTACAAACATTGTAATATGCATACATAAAAAAAAGTTAAAATACAATAACTGTCATGGAACCTTAGAAAATGAAATGCATAAAGGAATCTAATTTTAAATCTTAAAATTGATCTTGGTGGGTTTATTTGACCCTGTGAGAGAGACTTTTGCATTCTATCCTGTTGTGATAAATGTTTGTACCCATTTAGCTCTGCAAAAGGGTAATCCTTCATTTTCTAACATGGATGTAAGCTTCTTTGACTTTGACAAGGTTGTGAGAAATTGGTGTTGATGGAAAAGTAACTTAAGAAGATAAAAGGCTTTAGTTTTATCATGCATAGTGTCTGGTGAAGTCAGAAGGTCCAACATTTGGAGAATCGACTGAGTTGTTTTCCTTCTTCTATAGAATTATCACTGTTGACTCTGATACTGTTGACAGATTACAAAGGCATACAAGCTGAAGAATTGACAGCAGGAGGTTACTGAGGGTACATCTAAATTAGGGTCTATTTTTATGGTGCTCCAAGAGAGAATGACAGTAATGGGGAAAAAAAACAGGAGTTGCAATGTGTTCCCTTAGGCGGTCTGGCCATTGACTGGATCCATGACAAGTTGTACTGGACAGACTCTGGCACATCGAGGATTGAGGTGGCCAACTTGGACGGAACCCACAGAAAGGTTCTGCTTTGGCGAAACATGGAGAAGCCCAGAGCAATAGCTCTGCACCCAATGGAGGGGTAAGACTGCACGGCAGAACCTTGAGTAGGTGTAAGGCCATATGAACTTCACTAAGGGACACAAGATGTTTGGCTTTTTCTTTAACTTTTTTCCCCATTCACGTTGCCTACTGTGAAACTCGAATGGTTTCCACTTCAGGTTACTGTAATACTTCCTCCCTTGTGATTTTCTTATTTTTAACCTTCTTTAACTCATTTCCCTAGTCTTTAGTGCGTCACCAGACAATGGAGTGACTTTTTGTTTTCTGCTTGGTGTAAGAAGCAATCACTCATTTCCCCTCCGGAGCTGAATAAACACCCTGTGCTCTCATCCTGTCTTTACCAGAGCTTTGTACCTCTAGTTCTGGTCGTCCCTTTGTCCAGACTCCGTTCTCTTCCTTCAGGTCTGTTGTCCAACAACATTCAGATCTCTCCTTAGTGTGTATATCTCTCTCCCCTGCTGTCTTGATGAATCAGATGGATCGCCTTGTCTGGTCACACTACCAATCTATCAGTTGTCTCTAGAAAATACAGTGACAGACTTGCTTTCTAGATCTGCACTGACTGTCTACTTTGCACCATAATTTTATTTTTACAGGCGTAATTAAAAAGTACATTTTTTTATATTTGCTAAGCCGAGTTAAAAACCAAATTGGTACATCACCTACATAGGAACGGTTGAATGTGTGTAGAAAATCAGCTGTTGGATTGAAATGTTTGTAGGAAGATTTACTGGACGGACTGGGGTAACACTCCCCGGATAGAGTACGCCAACATGGACGGCTCCAATCGCCGGGTCATTGCCGACACCCATCTCTTCTGGCCCAACGGCCTCACCATAGACTACGCTGGCCACAGGATGTACTGGGTGGATGCGAAGCATCATGTGATTGAACGAGCGGACTTGGATGGGAAGAACAGAAAAGCCGTTATCAGCCAAGGTAAGAGCAGCTATAAAGGGCTTTTCAGCAGAATTATCAGGATGGTTCTGCAGCTACTGTGACATCTCCTTCAGGTCATACTTTTCCTGCAAGTGAACATTTTTTTTAAAGAAAACTGCTTGCAAGTTTAATTTCCGCCAATGCGTTTGACTGTATGCTGGCACAGGTTGTTGAATATATGCCAAAACCTTGTGCATCTTACAGAGATGTTTTTTGCCTCGTTTAAGTGGCAGTTTGTAGCAGGCTGATAACGGGTCCCAAAGCTGTAGTTTATTTCAGTTAACTCATACCTACAGCCAAAATATTATGTTAACTTTGAATTTGTTACGTGAAGTATTCAATTGAAAAATCCAAGTATTAAAGGTGTCGTTTCCAAGTATTTCTGTATCTTTTTATTGGATTTTCTGCTCTTTTTGTTTTGCTGCACATTCTTCTTCTCACTTGGTCACTGATGAGTCATAATTCATATTTTGTCAATTTTCTTTCTGTTGTAAATATGCTTGTAAATGTTTTAAGATCGCTTACACAGCAACACCATTTTGTTAAAACCATTTGATTTGTGTTTTCATGGACCGTACACTAACAAACTAAACTACGGTGTTTGATTTCTGATTTCTGTATATATGAGAAAACATCATAAAGTATTGAAAGGAATGAAAACTAAAACATGAATCAAAGGACACAAGTGGAAACAATGTGGAAGTGCATTTCAAACTGACAGCTGGAGGCACTTCTTAGCTTTTGAAGTTACCTGTAAGAATTGTGGGATTATGAAACAAGGTATCCAACCATGTCGTTGAAATCAGTCCCTGATTTCTTTCAAGAAACAACTGAATGAGATTATGGGATCAGTTAACTTCTAACTACCAAATGGGCTAGATGACCCAAATAAGCTGCCTCATTTATACCTGTTCTTATGTTCATTAGCAATCTCTTGCCCCTTCTTAATTGGGAATCTCTTTGCCCGATTCCTTATGCAATATGTTTAGAATCATGATTAACATGAGTAAATGTACTTATTACTCATCTAATGGACTAACATGTATAACAAGCCTGAAATGTAGCCCTGATTAAAGGTTAATAATGTATATTATTTGTAGCATACAAATATCATAATAATCATAGTGCTCATCGATTAGATTTCAACTAGGGTGAACTAGGTTTGGTGCTGCATATATCAGTGAAATGCATGAGCCTGGCACAGTGCTAAACAGTAGATTGACTGGTGTGTTTTTTTCACTGCACAGTTCATTTCAAGGCCAACCTCACAATGTCAAAAAAATGGTTTGCTCTCATGAGATCTAAAAATGGTTAGATCTCATTTCAAAGTGGGATTGCCTCTCGCTTCTTGTGCTGTCTTATTCGCTCCACAATGCGCTAGTAAATTCCAAAGCCGGAATTCCAAAGAATATAAAAAAAGACCAGCTGAAAGTTGCTGAATAAAGGGGATCTCTTAATGATGTGTATTATGTGGTATAAGAGCCTGTAATGATGTGTTCCTCTGAGGACTGGTTCTCACTCAAGCCTGCTGTTTGCTTAGACAACAGATTGTACAAGTCAGATGTGTGTGTTCAGCATTTGCCCGTGACTGTAGCTGGAGGCCCGCCAGCCTGCGTCTTTGATGCGGGAGTGGCCGGGCTCTCTGAGGGGCCGCCGAGCGGAACGCCCCGCGCCCGCGTGCGGACAGACAGCGCGCACCTGCACCTGCAACACCAGCGGGGACCCCCGCCCCCCGGCAGCTGCTGCTCCAGCTGGCGCAGGCCTGCGTGTGCGTGGCTGGCCTGCGTGTGCGTGGCTGGCGGGGAGAGGAGCACCGGCAGAACCTACTCCTGTATCCCTGCCACTTTGACATTTAATAATTATAATAATTGCCTACACTTATATAGCGTTTTCTGGACACTCCACTCAAAGCACTTTACAGGTAATGGGGATCCCCTCCACCCCCACCAGTGTGCAGCCCCACCTGGATGATGCGACGGCAGCCATAGTGCGCCAGAACGCTCACCTCACACCAGCTCTCAGTGGGGAGGAGAGCAGAGTAATGAAGCCAATTCATAGAGGGGGATTATTAGGAGGCCATGATCGGTAAGGGCCACTGGGAAATTTGGCCAGGACACCGGGGTTACACCCCTACTCTTTTTGAGAAACGCCCTGGGATTTTTAATGACCACAGAGAGTCAGGACCTCGGTTTTACATCTCATATGAAGGACGGTGCCTGTTTACAGTATAGTGTCCCCGTCACTATACAGGGGCATTAGGATCCACATTCGCCCCTTTAACACCTCTTCCAGCAGCAACCTTAGTTTTTCCCAGGAGGTCTCCCATCCAGGTACTGACCAGGCTCACACCTGCTGAGCTTCAGTGGGTTGCCAGTTGTGAGTTGCAGGGTGATACCACCCCCCTTTTTACTGTCACCTGGTGCAAGAGCAGTGATGCATGGATTGTGGTTTTGTTTAGAAAACAAAATTAAGGCATTTTAAAAAAGGTCTTTTCTAAACAATAGCAACATGAGTGCCATAGAGCAGATTGAAAGCTCTGTATATGTTCTGTGCTTGAAAAGAAATTCCAGTCACAAGGGAGGTAGGCGGTTCTAAATTTAGGGTTAAATTACCAAACTTTAGTAAGATTGTCATGCTTGTGTTTATTCACATTTATCTGTTCATCTAGTTGCTGTGTTAAGATTCAAGTCTAAATAAAGGCAGCTTTCTTAAAAATTGTGGAGGAGGAGGCTGGATTTTTTTCCAAATTCACACTTGGCCTGAAACCTCTGCTACTATAAATCCATTGAGTTTCCCTCCTAAGGAAAGTCCAGATAATTAGAACCAGACTAATTCAGTGCAGGTCCTCTAAAGCTGAAACATAGTGAAGTGACACTGAATCTTCTGCGAGAGCCTTGTGTCTGAAACATTTTCAGACGTACTTACTCTTTGCAGCAACATGTATTTTCAAGTTATCATGCTGAAATTAATTTGAAAAAAGATTTCCTTACATATTTTACAGATAATACAGCCATATTTGTTTCACAGGTTACTTGTGTGAAAAGCAAATTAAAACTACAGCTTCACATGCTAAGCCTCTGTGACATGTTTTATCATTTTCCTTTTTCAGGTTTGCCACATCCCTTTGCCATTACAGTGTTTGAAGATAGCCTGTACTGGACAGACTGGCACACCAAAAGTATTAACAGTGCTAACAAGTTCACCGGAAAGAACCAGGAGATAATCCGCAACAAACTGCACTTCCCCATGGATATCCACACGCTGCATCCCCAGAGACAGCCAGCAGGTAATTAGATCCATTAAGAACAGACAACCGTGGACAGAGAGCTCATGTTTGGGGAAAAGTGGTCAGAAGCAGTCGCGCACGCATCATTCAGGTGTAGGCTTTGCATCTGTCGTCATGGCCCAGTCTCATCTTTGATTCTGTTCTAGAACCAGGTTTGAGCAAAGCAATTTCTGAAAGAGTTAGGGCTGATTGACAGAAAGGGTCCTTCTGGCTGTCTAAGCTGGTCCTTGAATCGCGTATTTTAAGCAGGATGAGTTAACTTGCCTTCAGTTTTTCAGCAGGTTTTAGTGGAGTACTTACTTCACAAGAGGAGAAGCTGCAGGACATGATGAGGGGAGCTTAGAAGCAATTTAAAACTGATCAACAACAACAAATAACCAAAATAATTCTGTGTAAACCTTCCTTTACGTGAAGCCTTTCTTCAATATTTAATGGTTCTTGTCACATGAATGCTTCATTCATATTTATTGTATAATAATTGCTCAAGAGACTAATTTCATGGGAATTGCATATATGGGGAAAAAAGGTCATTGTATTACGATTTGCATTTCTCAAATTTAACCTCAAGCATTCTGCCAAAACTTACTTATTTTACACATATTGAACACATTTCTAGTTGGTTCCACGCTGACTTGTTGTTTTGGAAGCTTTTCCCAGTTTAAATAAGTGGTTTGATGCATGAAATATACAGTACAGCTTCTTTTACAATATTTAAAAAGAGAATTTGTCTATTAAAACAAAGACATTTGTTTGCTTCCTGGCAATACGCACAGTGGTATTAAGTGTTTTTTCTCTTCTTTATACCATAAAAAACTAAAAGTAACCCTTTTTTTTGTCTAAGAGACTCTGATCTATTTTTCCTACAGGTGGTAGAAATCGGTGTGGAAACAATAATGGAGGCTGTAGCCACCTTTGTCTGCCCAGCAACAAAACATACACTTGTGCTTGCCCCACTGGCTTTAAGAAGATAGATAACTTTAACTGTGCAGAAAGTGAGTATACCATTGAAAATTTCTACAAATATCTGTCCTCTTCCGGATTTTATACTGGGAGGGAAATTCTCAAAGCCATTTATTCCGGTGTCTTCAGTACCATTGTTTTTCTTAAAGAAAAGTTTAATTTCCAGTTTAAATTTCTTGAATTGTTTATTCTTGATAGCTGCTTTTGTTGATGTGCAAAAATATACAATCTTTTTTTGTTAATGAAAATCTAACCTGCATATGTTTGAGGCACAACATTGGGGGAAAAAAAGGACAGAATTGTTTTTGATGTCTTTTAGAAATAGAATGGTTTTTCCCCATTTGTTATTGAGACCAGCAGATCTAGACTAGTAGATTGTGCTACGAATGTAGAATACAGTGAGTCATTTGAAGATAAAAGCGATAAGGAATAACGAAAAGGAAGAAACCTTGTCTTGCGATGCGGGTTTGTTTGTCTTCCTGGAACCCAACAAACATACTTGACATTTTATGTTAAATTGGGTGAGACTGGAGTTTTTTTGTGTCTGATTCTCTGTTAAACATAGAAGAATGACAAGAGACCTTTGGTCTTTGATCAGGTCTTGACAAGTTCCTGCTTTTTGCCCGAAGGACGGACATCCGTCGGATCAGCTTCGACACCGAGGACAAGTCCGATGACGTCATCCCTCTTGCTGACGTGCGCAATGCGGTGGCCCTGGACTGGGACTCCGGGGAGGAGTACATCTACTGGACCGATGTCACCACCGACTCCATTAACAGAGCCAAGTGGGATGGATCCAAACAAGAGGTCAGTTGTTTCCTGTGGGATAATAGCCTTGCTTCTAATTTAGACTGCAAAACCCACTGCGATTTCACCAAGGCATGCATTGATTTTGATTTTAAACCCTTTGTCCTTTTCTTTTAATTGCACAGCACTGTTCAGCCCTTAACAACACCATCTGCATTTTCCTATGCACCCCTACCTAAAACTAAATACTTGATTGATTGATCCTTTTTAAAATATTGAATTATTTTGTATGATAGCACCATCTACTGGATAATTGTTCTGTTTGCAGAAAACGAAAGTCTTCAAAAGCAAGACATGGTTATAGGTCAAAAGTGTAGGTCTACTACTACTACTGTACATAGCAGTTCAGCACATTGTACAGTATAAGTTTTGTTATACCAGTCACCATCTTTTATCTCTGACTTGTTCTTGCCTCACTTTTGGTTTGCCCACAGGTTGTTGTGGACACCAGTCTGGAAAGCCCTGCAGGTCTTGCAATTGATTGGGTGACCAACAAACTGTACTGGACAGATGCAGGTAAGACATTCCCGTGTCAAATCTGAGAGCTGATGGATCACTTGTCTGGTATTTAAGTAGTTATACTCTTTAACTGGAGTACCCATCCATCCATTTTGTAACTACTTCATTCAGTACTGTGCCGTGGGGATCAGTTCATTGCAGAGCACAAACTCACACCAGGGCCAATTTTCCCAGAGGCCAATTAACCTATTAGTTGGTCTTTGAATATGATAGGAGAGCAGGAGTACCCAGAGGAAACCCGTGCGAACACAGGGGTCCGTAGTACCATGGATAATGATGTAAAATCTTAACCCTTAACCCAGAGGAAACCCGTTTCTAATTCACCCTGTTCCTCTGCTCTTTCCAGGTACTGACAGGATCGAAGTATCTAATGCTGATGGTAGCATGAGGACTGTGCTTATCTGGGAGAACCTGGACAGGCCCAGGGACATTGTGGTGGATCCCATAGGGGGGTAAGTGGCTTTTTAAAAAAATATCGCAGCTATTAAACGGATCTGGAGTTTCATCCCCAATGTTGTAGTGAACTACAGTAAACTGATTTTTTTTTTCTTTTGGACCTTTTTTTAAAATGGGGGGGAAAAAAAGCTTTATAAATCATCACAGACATTTGCTAGAGAAGTGTTCCTACTTAAAAACTAAAACTGCTTTCATTTAAACTGCATTAAACACATATGGATGTAGTGTGAAGTATGAATGCTATTTTTCCCTTCTGGTGGAAAGGGTTAACTGCTGTTGGCTTTATATCAGGTACATGTACTGGACCGACTGGGGAGCGAACCCCAAGATTGAACGGGCTGGAATGGATGCCTCAAACCGTATAGTGATCATCTCCTCCAACCTCACCTGGCCCAATGGATTGGCCATTGACTATGAGACAGAGAGGCTCTACTGGGCAGATGCGGGCATGAAAACGATTGAATATGGCAACTTAGATGGCACGGACAGGAAGGTAGAGGAAATACACTTTTTTTTAAAATGGTAGTAAAAGATTTGTACATATGGCAGAATGTCTGTGTAACAGAACTTTGGATTGTTTTTGGAGATGGAGAAATGGCTATACAAATGGCTAGACAATGAAGTCCTCCCAATGAAACCTGAAAATAAACCCAGCATTTGCTTTACATCTCTTAGTACCTTTTCATTTCTTATTTTCTCACTTCTATTTTTACTTTGCTATTTTTTTCTGACACTCGGTTGATAACCGGAATCACTGCTGTTAGAGCCATGCCTAAATGAACCACTGACCCCAGTGCTTCATAAAGCAATTGACCTTTGTCAGAATTAAAACTCAGTTTCTGTTGTGTTACCTGGTTTTAAAGATGTCATCTTAGGCATATTTTTCTTTTTATAAATGCACCACTTTTCTGGTTCTTTCTGATTGGGTTTGAAGGTGCTGATCGGAAGCCAGCTGCCTCACCCCTTCGGCCTTACTCTTCATGAGGACAAAATCTACTGGACAGACTGGCAATCCAAAAGCATCCAGAGTGCGAACAAACACACAGGCCAGGGCCGCACCACGCTGACAGAGAGCTTAGAGAACCTCATGGACATTCACATGTTTCATCGCCATCGAGCCCCAGGTAGACAACCCCCCTTGGGCCTTTAACCTTACAGTGTTCCTCTTCTCTATGTTGAATGCTTTCACGAAAGGCTATAGAGTAGCAGCCTGGTGGTCAGCACTAGTACCTCACAGCTTCAGGTTCCGGGATTTAGCTCTAACAGGATGCTCTTATATGTGTGAAGTTTACATGTTCTCCCCGTACTTGTGTGAGTTTATGCTGGGTGCTGTGGTTTTCTCCCACCACCTAAAGACTTGCAGGTTAGGTTTGATATCTTACTGTAGGTTAGGCCTTTCAAGTTACTTTTTTTTACTTGGAGAGAGAATTAAGTGAGAAGCTTTGAAGGAATAATGCATAACACAAAATAGATGATTCTTGGAAACTAGAACCAACTGAGTAAAATGGGCTTAATGATCTCTCATTTGTGGTCTTTTTCATTCTCTGATTTTAATAATTAAATGAGGGTGTTCCCTATGTATTTGGATTTTGTTCATTTAGTAAAACTCAAATTGATTCTGACAATTGACTGAAGTTAATTAAAATGAGATTTACAAAATACAATGAAATGTGGGGTTACATTCCTCAAAGACTGAAAGGGAAGACAGATATACAGTACATAACCATTTCCTTTGAACTTTGGTTTTTCAGTTCATACGGCATGCAGAGTGAATAATGGAGGCTGTAGCCATCTCTGTCTTTTGGCTCCTTTGCCTAAGGGATCAAGCTGTGCCTGTCCTACAGGAATAAATCTCCAGTTTGACGGAAAGACCTGCGCACAAGGTAGGCACCCATTTGAAACGGTAATGCGTCAGTGGCCCCACTGTCATACCCCTCGGACATCTCCTTCAGTAACAGGAGAAGCCTGCCTTTGAAATCTGAACCTTTCACAAGCATGAAAAGATTGATCAAGGAGTGGCTATAGAGAAGTCTTCTAGAGTCTCTTACATCAACAAATGATAAATTGTTTTAGCTTAAAACTCTCATCTTACGCTGAGACTTTTTACATTTTACATTCTTACATTACTAAGCTGTTGTCTTAAATTTGTCAGGTTTTGTCCTATCTTTGTCCTATCTTTCACTTAAATGGTGTGTAAGGAGATATGTTGCTCCCCTAAGGATGTTCCATTTTGAAATCAATGCATACTTTCTTGCCTTTACTTACTTTGTGTGCATAACTTCTAAATTTTAATTGTTTGTGAGGATTTACATTTGAGTTTCAGTGATGATCTGTGCATTTAATTCTGCCTCTTTTCTATTGAAGGCATGAACAGCTTCCTAATTTTTGCACGACGAACCGACATTCGTATGGTTTCCCTCGATATACCATACTTTGCCGACGTTGTTCTTGCTATAAATGGATCTATGAAAAATACAATTGCCATCGGGGTGGATCCTAAAGAGGGTATGTATCAGAATGGCTGACTTGTGTCTGAAAAATTTATTTTTATATTTTGTCTCTTATATGACTTCCAAAACCACCTTTGAAGGGATAAAGTGCATAACTCCAAATATGAAAGATGATTTTGTACCCCCCTGCCCCTCATCTACTGTTATGAGCAATGCAGCAAATTAAACATGGAACAGGCATCTAAAAATAAGCATGTGATTTATTTTTATGTATTTTCTCTTCCCCACTTCCTCTTCAGGCAAGGTTTACTGGTCTGATAGCACACTGAAAAAAGTAAGCAGGGCGAATCTGAATGGCACAGGCTATGAAGATATAATTTCAAGAGGTAAGACATTTGTCAATTTTAATACCTTTTTAATGATCTTTGAAGAAATTCTGCAGCCATTATTTTTAAGACTTGATCTAAAATCTACCAACCAATGGTCTCGTTAAGTTTGTTTTTAAATGATTGCAATTTTCAATATGTAAATAACAGGTCCATTTCAATTAGAACTAATGGAGTAAATGAAAACCAATGCAAATGGCTTAGTCATTGATTTATAGCTCTTTAACTCTGGACTGTATTAACTAAGCGAAAACCCCTGTTTGCAAGTGTGCAGCATCCCAGAGGTATGTTCAAGAATGCCCACATAGTAACGTGTCTTCCAGGATTAATGACTACAGACGGACTGGCAGTGGATGCTGTTGGCCGAAAGATTTATTGGACTGACACAGGCACTAACAGGATTGAAGTTGCCAATCTGGATGGATCAATGAGGAAAGTTCTTATCTGGCAAAACCTGGATAGCCCACGAGCCATCGCTCTTTACCACGAAATGGGGTAAATAGGCTCTTTTTTTATTCTATGCATCGCATTCAAATTTTAGTGAAATCGATCTGCCCGGATGTTCTTTTTCTGCTGAATCCTTATTCACCGAACCTTCAGGTACATGTACTGGACGGACTGGGGAGAGCACGCCAAGCTGGAGCGCTCTGGAATGGACGGGTCGGAAAGGATGGTGCTCATCAGCAACAACCTCGGCTGGCCCAACGGGCTGGCTATAGACAAGGCTGGATCGCAGCTGCTCTGGGCCGACGCACATACAGAGGTCAGTGCCCTGCACAGCCAGCCAAATCACATAACAAGAGCTGACCAAACCCATGCAAATACATGAAGTGAAAGACACTGCAAAATTAAATTAAACTGGACTTACTGTTCATTTTGCGTATTATTAACTATATGCAAATCCTGTTTTTGGCAGAAATCTACAGCAACAATCTGGAAGTGTAGATATTTTTTATCTTGAATAGTTTGCAAGTCGACCCATGAGATTGCTTGTACATTGCAGTTGTGATTCTTGTTAAGGTTTCTCATGTATAGGTGGCATTCCAATGTTTTTTTTTATTCCTTACTCAGCGCATTGAAGCAGCAGACCTGAATGGAGCCAATCGGCGGACGCTGGTGTCCCCAGTGCAGCACCCTTACGGGCTGACCCTGCTCGGCTCTCATATCTACTGGACTGACTGGCAGAGTCGCAGCATCCAGAGGGCTGACAAGACCACCGGAGGCAACAGCATCATGGTGCGGGGGAACCTGCCAGGCCTCATGGACATCCAGGCTGTGGACAGGGAGAAGCCACTGGGTTGGTAGATCGGCTCTGAAGCGCTGCAGCACTCAGCTGGATGGGTTAATGCTGCCCTCTAGTGTCTGCATTCATTTAAGCACAAGTGCTACCGCGTTGTGCAACAAGCCTTTGACCTCCTGTACCGAGGTTCTTCTCTCATGAAAAGTGTTTTAGAAACACTGCATTCACAGATTTCACAAGGAAGCATCTGAAAGCCTACAAAACATAAGAATTCTAAAAACCTTGTGTTCCTTTACAGAATAAGTGGAATTATGTAAAGTATGAATGCAGAATGTTAAATGTATTCTATCGTATAAAGAATGATATAGAAATTGAAGGTGTAGAAGGAGAGAAGTAATGAAGGCAATACAGTAATATGCACACAAATATTCACAACATTTCTAACCATAAGGTGCCTAACTTGACTGCTTTGCATGGATGAAAAGCCGGTCTAACGAGTCAAGTTCCTTCTGAATGTTTTCATACAGCACGGGTAGTTTGTCTATACGTGAAGGCAATTTCTGACCACAGGGGAAGGTAATATTATCAAAGGAGAGAAGACAAAAGAGTTCTAGAGCTTTAAGGCTAGTGACAGCTAGATGTTTACTTTACATAGACAACCTATCCCTTTCAAAGCCTTATTTTATGATATTGTATATTCTCCAAAAAATAATTGCTTTCACGCTCATTTCATGTCTGTTATAGTGAGCGTCGCCATTAGATGAAAAATGCGCCCTCATAAGTGGTATTTCAGGCTTCTTAAGTTGTACATGCTCATTAAATATATGTGTGTAGCTATGCTAATGAATTCCATTGCATGGCTAAAAGAAGGGAACTCCCTTTTGGGAATGTAAATTTTACATATATAACTACAGTATAATGGGATACTGCTTGTATACTGTCTCTCTGTGAATAAGAGGCTTTGTCTTTAAAATGTACCTTTTAAAAGGGTGAATATCTACATTTGTTTCCTAAAAGAAGCCTTGTAAGCATGAGGCAGGCCTGCGTTTTGCCAGGTAGTTAAAGACATCATTGTAGGTGAAGCAGACTATTATGCCATATTAAAGGGGAACTGTGTTTTAAGAGTTGCAGTGGTATGGTTTTTGCAGTGTCGGATAAGGTCATGTATGATCCTCTTGATGAAGTGAGCGCTTGCTGGAGTGCCCTGGATTCTCCAGGCCTTTACATTGATGAAAACTAGGGCCTGGGTAGCAGGCCTTAATATGACCTCAAACCATAATGAACCATTATTTCGGTTTCATGGGAGAATCTAGCAATTTCCATGTTTGAAATGTACCCCTCCAAAAAGTGACATAACGGGTTCATTTTAAATCTGCATTACTTCCTTTTTATCGTTTTTGGTTATTCTTTAAGCATACTCTGGAGACGACCGGCTTATTTAATGCAGCGCATGTGTTTCAGGACAATGGAGGGCTAATGAGAGTCGGGGGAACAAATTGGTTCTTGTTGCAAGTATTCTTGAATGCTACCAATGTGGCAGGCTGCTCCATTGTCATCTGACCAGCATGAGCACATCATTTGCCGCACTGGGGTCTCTGTTTAACACTCTGAGGAACATTCAGAGACTTGATTAATAAATCCTCTCAGAGGTGATGTTTAATTAGGGGAGGGAAGAAAAAGGAAAAGTGTCCTCTTGCTGGATTCATAGTGCTTTCTTTTTGTTATGTTTATTGATTACTCCATCTCTGAATGTGAATACCTCTTTATATTCCTTAAAGGAATGCTTTGCATAGACTCTTTAGCATTCCATTTGAATTTACTTCTATATGCATTCATACTCTTTTCTTATAGGATGTTGCACATTATTGCAGATTTAAAAAGTTTGCAGTTGCTGTCGTGATTAGGTTTCTGATCTTGCCAAATATTCAGGTCATTGTTTTGCTCGTCTTTTGTTTTTCCGAAGCCTCAACAAAGGGTCATCATTGTTGACCGAATCAATGGACCATATGATAAAATGTTTGTCATAACCATTCAGTGCCTGCTAGGCGCAGTGCCAGTATTCAGAGCTCTTTTCCAATTGGCCGTCAGAAGTGAAAGGCTTATTCCATTCAGTTGTTTTTCCTCTTTGTCACTGTATATAATGTCAGCTTCCTTGAAAAACCTGTCTAAGAAGTGCTTTCTTAGGTGGATGTATTTGACCAATATAGTGTCTTAAAATGTAAAATGATTTGTCCAATCATTTATGTAACTCATTGAAATCTAATGCTAAGCCCTTTATTCAAATATCACACTCACAACCACCTATTTCTTACTGCAACGAGACTCACGGTATGTTTTCTACAGATAAGAGGATTTGATTTGAACATGCAAATCTACAAGACCAGTGCTTAACAAAAGACTGTCCCAGTCCTGAAGTGTTTCCAGCTGTAGGAGAACCAGGAAAGAAAATCACCCCTGCGCTGTTCGATCACTTGCAGGTTTTAATAAGTGCAGCCGGAGGAACGGCGGCTGCAGTCACCTGTGTCTTCCCAATCCCAACGGCACTTCCTGCGCCTGCCCCACGGGCATCCTGCTGAAGGGAGACGGCAGGTCGTGCGACGACGTCCCCGAGGCCTACCTGCTCTTCTCCAACCGCGTCGGCATCCGCCGCATCTCCCTCGACACCAGCGACTACACCGACGTCCACGTGCCCGTGCCGGAGCTCAGCAACGTCATCTCCCTGGACTACGACAGCGTGGAGGGCAAAGTCTACTACACTGACGTGTCCCTGGATGTCATCAGGTACGGCTCCTGGGAGATGGGGGTGGTTCCTGTGGATGAGTACTCCCGGCGTTTCTTTGCCCCCTTTTTTCCGGCTTACGTTGCGGTAAAGATGAAAAGAAATAAAAATCGAACTCCACAGATAAGTTTACAATCCATATTCATCCTCTGAGGTTTAAGAAAATCCCAATCTATTTCATCTTACCCATCATAAGTGGTTCCTTAACAATGGATTTTTTTCTGATCATACTGAAGGTGTAGAAGAGAATCCTTTCCAATGTCTTCCATTTTCCAAAATACACACGAACCCTATTCACCTGTTTGTCCGTTTGCAGACGTGCCAACCTGAATGGCAGTGGCATGGAGACTGTGATCGGGCAGGGTCTGAAGACCACTGACGGCCTGGCGGTAGACTGGGTGGCGCGGAACATGTACTGGACCGATACGGGCAGGAACACTATAGAGGTGGCCAGGCTGGATGGCTCCTCTCGCAAAGTGCTCATTAATAACAGCCTGGACGAGCCCAGGGCTATTGCGGTCTTCCCAAGCAAGGGGTAGGGTGTGCTTAATGAAAATGAAGTTTTCTGTGTAAAGAAATCATCTTTTTTCTTCTAGTCTTTTTTAAGATAAAAGTAAATAAACCACTAGAGGTCAGCTGTATTTTGTCATTTAATTTATACTTTTTAGAAACCCATTAAAATCTAACCCCACAAAAGGGCCGTCAATAGCCTGAAAATTGAGTGACTGTGTGCATTAATTTCCAGGTACCTGTTTTGGACTGATTGGGGCCATATTGCCAAGATTGAGAGGGCTTATCTGGATGGGTCAGATCGCAAAGTCCTGATCAATACTGACCTGGGCTGGCCAAATGGACTTACTCTGGACTACGACACACGCAGGTGCAAAGGATAACCTATATGTGGCACACATCTTTCTTAAGTAGAATTAGTTTTTATGTATGAAACTAAATAATACTTCATTGAAGGTTTTTAGTTACTGGGCAAGAGGCTAGTACATCTCTGTAAGTGCTGTGGGGGCTAACTTTGGAGCTCAAGAAGATCAATCATTAGAACAGTTGCAAGCCTGCGGAATATCTGTGTGGTTTATTTTCTTGGATTACCCTGAAATCCCTAAGAGAGAAAGAATTCCAATTGCTTCTGTACTGTGTAATATGTGGTAATAAATGAGTGCTGGTTGTTTCCATGCAGGATATATTGGGTGGATGCTCATTTGGACAGGATTGAGAGTTCTGATCTAAATGGAAAGCTTCGGCAGATCCTTGTCAGCCCGGTCTCCCATCCCTTTGCTCTCACACAGGTATCTATTTGTTTTATAGAAGAATCATCCCTCTTTCACATTTTTTTTCCCATCTGTCAAATCCATCTCTTTAAATAACACCATTCTCCCGAAATCCTCTCATCTCTGACCTTCATTTTCTTTTCTTGTTTGTTCCCCCCCCCCTCCTTTCTCTTTCTTTTTCCATTCTCAGTTGGAGACGGTGTCTTCAAAACTAACCCCTCTCTTCCACCTCTCACAGCAAGACCGATGGATTTACTGGACCGACTGGCAAACTAAGTCTATTCAGCGTGTAGATAAGCACACAGGACGGAGCAAAGAGACTATTCTTGCAAATGTTGAGGGATTAATGGATATCATTGTAGTATCTCCTCAAAGGCAAACTGGTAAGGCTGAGTATGATCATTTTCTACGTTTATGTGATCGGTGGGACAAATAAAGAGGAACTGCAATTCTTTGGATTTCGGGGGTTAGAAAGAATCAGCATTGATGAGAGCATTTCAAACCACAATGGAAGTAACATGTACACAGTAATGTGTAAAGCCTCCAATTTACATCACAAAATAGACTATTTCTAGGTATGTGCAGTGCCACATGTTCATAACTCCCGAACTGTCTGCAATTCAGAACTTCTAGTGATGTGTACCGGCCCTATTACAGTGTAAACAGGCAAGGTTGTGAATACATCTATTTTAATCCAATAGAAATATTGCTCTCGACCTTGAGGCGGTTTTGCTGAAACATACTACTTACTTGTTAACTCTGCATGCAGATCCACGTGGGAGCCTTTCTGCAGTGAAATGTCTGCCGGCACAACTTTTACTGTACTTATTCGATCATACATTACATTAGTCTGTGACTAGTGAGCGGGAACGCCGCTTCACGTCACAATTTGCGCAAGCTCTCCGTCTCGCCCATGGCGAGACCAGGGGTTTGCAACAAAATGGAAACCATATAGTACGTTCACAAAGTTCACGTATAATTCACAATAATATCAGTATTATTGATTTTCCATTGCCGAATGCCAACAAATATAAAAGATAAAAATAAAGACACAAATACATGTCTCGGTTTATTTTCAGAAATATTTGCAATATATGGTATTCCCTTGATGCGGTTCACTGGGGCTCCTGTGTAAATGAATAAAAGTCAAGTGGAAGCATAGAAATGGCATAGTGCCACCAGGATAAGGTGGGCATTAGTTTAACATGGTCAGCTTTCAGTAACACAGTAGCTCCTGCGCTGTGACATGTTGTGTGCCCAACACAGCACTGCTATTAGCTGGCATCATGTCAAAGCTTGAACAGAACTAAATCTAATCCCCCACGTGCCCTATATTCTAGACAGGATCTTAAATCATTGGCAGTTTGATCGTGAGTGAGTGGGGGAAAGTATTTGAAAAAAAGCTGTAACTGCAATGCAAATGTAAAATGCATTTATAAAAAGAAAAAAATGACCAAGATGCAATGCTTTTTGCTTGTTTGTGTGAGACTGGTTTCGACTGCTCCTGAACCTCGAATCTTCTCGCCTCCCCCAAGGTACCAATCACTGTGGTGTAAACAATGGCGGTTGTACCCATCTTTGCTTTGCCAAATCTGGAGGGTTTGTGTGTGCTTGCCCTGATGAGCCTGATGGGAAGCCCTGCTCCACCAGTAAGAGAGATTTTAAATAAAGTCTTACTAAAATACATTTTCACACGTTTTGACACAAGAACGTAAAACTAACTGGCTGACACTGATAATGTCTCCTTCAGTTGCAGGTTATGTTCCCACCCCTGAGACCCCTCAGACCACCACCACCACATGGCCTCACAAACCTCCCAAGATCCCCGGCACGTCTACTGACAAACCTAAAGCTCGACCACCTGCGGCAAAGTAAGGACGTTAGTCTTCTCCTCTGTGTGAGCCATGTGCCCCGTATCGCACATACATGAAAACATCCTTCACTGTATACATTATGCTGTAATATGGGGGTGACATTCAGCGTTGCTTAGGGATCCGGACTCCATACTGGTGGTTTGTGGGTTCATCCAGTTACCTTATCCTAGTTATTCTAGTCTACCAATGTCTTCTAATGTCTTTTTGCTGGGTGGTAATCCCTGCAATAGGCCAGTGTACCTTAAATTTTTTTATCCCATGGCCAACATAAATAAAAATAGTTTTGAGGCACACTGCCCCTCCCTCCAGCGACATACATGTCACCAGACCAAGCCTGTTATTAATTTTAGAAAAAAAATGGATTTTAATATTTAACAACTTGCCCTCCACGTGTTTCCCCATGCGGGGCACTGGTCTTGGATCATGGATACTGAGACACACAGAACACACAACATAGCCTATTGTCTCATCCAGAGAGTCGCCACATGTTCTTAGACTGCATTGTCCCTCCAGTGGTTCCCTGTAGCTCTACACTCTCACACTCCCTACACACCCTTCTGATATCTCTGGCCATCCTCTTCTTCTGCCAGGCTGTGTTCCTCCTCCCTAATTCCACAGTGGTGGAATGATCTAACCATTGGTATCTGAACTGCTCAGTCCCTGACCACCCTACTGTTTCCTCAACACTCCTCCTGTTCTCTCACACTGCTGTGAGCTCTCGCCACTGGCTGATGCTCTCAGCTCCGTGGCATTTCTGCTTCATCTTCATGAATGATTCCTCACCTCCACGTTGCCTAATGCTCAATGGCTTGTCTTTCCATTTTTGTAGTTGCACTGAGAAAGACATGAGCCTGCAACGCTGTATAACTGAAAGCAGTCAGGTTGTCAAGGCTTCGAATGGTAAGGGGGCAAATTGATGTTCTGGTTTTTTAAAGAATGTTTTATGTATATTGTCCATGAATCTTTGTTTTTGATAATGAACATAGTTATATTACTTCAAACCATGATAAGCTGTGATTATGTGTACTGAATTTTTTTAAGTTTTTTATATTTGAAAATGATTTGCATTGGGTGTTAAATTGGTTTGCTACAAACCATAAATATGTAACATTTAATGTCTATGCTACTTGTTCACATTCCTACATGGTACATAATGTGAATAATCATAATCATTAATTAATAGTAATGATGTTGTCTTTCTTAAATGGAGAAGGCCTGCACATCAGCTATGTTATTGGAGGAGCTTTGACAATGTTGGCCATCCTGATTCTCATAGCTGCGTTCATTATATACAGGTAAGTCCAACAGCACTGCATCTCAATGTTTTGAGTAAATACTTCCAGTCACCAAGTACATTTTAAACATGATATATAATTCTGCAATGCGAGTGTAGTTGTATTGGTTTCCTTAAATTCACATCTTCAAAATAGTTCAAGAAATGTCTTTCTTTGTGGAATCTGATGTTTTTGTAACAGGATTTCTGAATTTTGTTGTCTTGCTACTTTTTTAGGCACAAAAAATCCAAGTTTGCTGACCCCGGAGTGAGTAATCTCACCTACAGTAATCCATCATACAGGACCTCGACTCAAGAAGTGAAAATAGAAACCGTACAAAAGCCTCCAATTTATAACCAGCTCCGATATAAAAAAGAGGTAAATGAAGATACTATGTATGTTTTGTATTATGTGTAAGGTTATGCTTTAGGTATTGTATAATTTACAGCTATTGGGTAGTTTATAGAACAATGTTGATGAAAATAAGAACTAGAAATTCGTATTCTCTGCCTTGAGTACATTTGCAATATGACTGTACTTTATTCTATACAACATTTTTCTTTTTGCAGTTACAATTCAGAATGTAGCAGGGTGTATTTCTTTGTTAGTGGGTTAAGATTCTTAACTTTTATTTTCTACACTTGCAAGTTCAACTCTCTCTTTCTTCATTACAGCTTTCTCATCCCTACAACACCCTATCTCCTTTTACCTTTTGACCTGTTTCCCACACTTTATTAAAGGTAGCCAAACAGCATGACTGAAGGGACCTTCAGCACCCTAAAAACTGGCATGTTTTGTGTTCAGCTTTTTTTAACATACAGTATGCAACGTGTTAGTAGCCTGCATTATTAACACTTGTGCCGGTTTACCTGTAGGGATATTTTTCAGGGTGACAAATGTTTTAATAATTACTGTATAGAATGAAAAAACTTTTCAGTTAACCTTACCTTATTCAGTCATTTCTTCTTTTCTTATTTAGATTTTCCTTTTTTTCAGCATTCAACCCCTTTGCCTTTCTAGGCAAAACTTTGCCTAGAAAGGTCTTTAGTGTTTAAAAGTTAAATGCAGCAACACAGCAGAACACAAGTTCCTGTATTGAAATCATTCCAATACTGAAATTGAATTTCTGACTTAAAAATGGGTGCATATCAGGAGATGTGGTGTCCGGTAACATTATGGCAACATGACTTCCAGAACCTGACTAATAATATGAAATATAGCCTATAATATAAAACTTTATATAGAACTGAAGTGGTCTGAATGATCAAAAACTGTTTCCACAATGCAGGCTGTGTTAGAGTATACAGACCTCATTTCCATACTTTTGTTGTACTGGAATGCTGGTGTGCCAACTGTCAGGTTTTTTAAACGAGATTTATATTTTGTATTCATTATTCTTACTATTGCGCCTCCAATGTTTGCGATGTAGGCCAGCAGCGACAACAGCTACACCAAGGAGAAGATCAAGATTGTGGAGGGCATCTGCCTGCTGTCCAACGACGAGCTGTACTGGGAGGACCTGAAGCAGATCAAGCCCTCCCGGGGAGGGATCCTGCGGGACCACGTCTGCATGAAGACGGACACGGTGTCCCTGCAGGCCAGCAGCGCCTCCCTGGACGACACGGAAACTGAGCAGCTGCTGCAGGAGGAGCAGTCCGAGTGCAGCAGCATCCACACCGCTGCGGCCGCCACGCCCGAGCGGCACGGGGCCCTGCCGGACACCGGCTGGAGCCTCCCTCCGAAACCCTCAACCGAGAGCGAGGTGTGACCCCTCCCCCCCCACAGCCAGGCCTCGCCTCCTCCTCCTCCTCCTCCGCCGTTCTGCTTTCGAGTGTCTGTTTTCGTCTGCAGACTGCTTCCAGCTGTGCTATCAAACTTCATGGCTTCTTCCTCAGAGATCAGACTTGGAGACGGGTGGAGGAAGAAAACCACAAACTTGACAAATAAACATGAAGACATATCTGCAACCATTAACGGAACAACACGGCGGTCTGTTATTGGGCTACTTTTGTGTGTCAATTGTTTTGTGGACTATTGTTCTTGATTTGAGCAACCTAATACTCTAATATGCCACTCATAATACAGCAAGTGATTCGTCAAATCTATTTATGAACTTTTTTTATACTTTGAGTGGTGTGTGACAAAACACGATAGGCTTTCCGAGAGTGAATTTAGTTAAACGTATGGAATTAAAATGCTTTTATCGCTTAGAAAAACATTTTCCTGTGTTTGTATTTCTGTCTGTGCCAAAGGGCAGGGCTGTTATTTTCAGACAAGGCCTTTTCACTTCTGGTTTCCAGGGCGTTTACAGGCTAGCAGTGATGATCCACCTGATATTACAGAAGTATTCAGTACGACGATTAGACTAATTGATTCACATTTTTTAGAACATACCGTTTTGCTTCTTACAAATAATGAATTGTGATGAACCTTCGTAACTGGATCTTCTAAAACTGTTAACATTAATGTACAAGGTACTCATGAATGAAAGGAAAACGCAAAACTGTTTAAAGTATGGTATATATGGGAATTTGTTCTTTACATGTATGAATTGAAAAGAAATTCCCCCACAAAAAACATTTTATTCCTAGCTGTTGAAGTATTTTAAATCCCTCTGGAATTTTTTATTAATCAAGGTAGAATGTCTATTCCTGCACCTTGAGAGCGCTTTGCACAGATGACTTATCACATGACATGCTGTTTTTTTTAAGATACCTTCTGTACTATGCCCATTCTTTGTACTAACAGCCAAAAGGAAATGTCCTCACCTAAAAACTTGTATTATGTGTTTCTGTGTACTTGCTACTGTACATGGATCAACATTTCTGCAACTTGTACCAGTGACATCTTAAAATAAGGGGGTGGGAGGGTTGAGTAGTTCTTTGCCAAGCATATAATTTTAAAATGTTAAGAAATGTATTAGCAGACATGTTTTCTTCTTACATGAAAATGATGTTTCTAGGTTTTAAAGGGCTGTCATAAGAATGACAAATCCCCAGATCATGTACATCTCAAAGTACCATCAACTGGTTCAGTAACTCTTGCTGATTTGCTGCTAAATAGCACTGAGACCCACAGTTCTGGTCTTGGCAGCTACTTAAAGTCCAAGAATAACAGAGACTATGCTTATTAACTGAGAATTTTAATGTTCTGTGGCAACCCTGACAAAAGACAACAGTTTCACAATTTTTCACAATCAAATTAAGAATTACTAACATGACTTGTACAGAATTCAGATATGGCATTTTTAATTGTTTAAATATCTTGTATTGATATATTGTATAAAGAATCTGATTTTTGTTGTACAAAGGGATTTCTTGATTGTGACTTATTAATTTTACTCACTGGAGAAATGTTTGCTGGATTTATTTAACCACTGTTTGTTCAGAACCTTAAATACTAGGGCTGTGCCAGTTATTTAATAGAGTGCTTTTTATGCTACAAAATATTGGTCACATATAACTTGTAAAGTTAACTAAAATATTTATAATTTGTTTTTATTTTGTGTACATACATGTAATTTTCCTTCTGCAATGCTAACAAGCTGTGCTGTGTGATATAGTGAGTAGCCATTTGTTCAATTGTAACAAGACTGTATTTGCATTGAGATGGAAAAATGTTGCATTTTTAACTGTACTTACTAAAAATGCTTTGGTGTTTTCGATAGACATTCTTTTTACTGAAACTGTTCAAATCTTTTGTAAATCAGTGACCTACTTTTCCTCCTTGTATCGGCTCAAAGAGGTTGTTCTGAATGCAGTTGCTTGTTCAAATTGTATTTAACTTTTCATTGACATTGACTTAAGAACAATTCTCTATTCCTCAAAATCCAGCTCGGGTAGCCTTATTTTTTCATATTCACAATGGAATCCTAATGAAATCTTGTAATAGGAAAAAAAACAAGTATTTATTTATTGGTATTTACATTCTTTAGTTCTCAATTAAATTATATGTAATTAGTTAGTGCTGTTTCTCCATAATGTGAATGTACTGTAGATCACAATAGCCTCTTAATAGTTTAACATACAGAACTAATATTTGCAATGATTCGTCTCACACTATGATAGGAAGTGTAAAGGGAAATGTGCATAATATTGCATTTAACAGAATAATAACTACCATTACACCTGAGTTCAGCAATTTTTGTAAGTGGAACGTAGCCTTAAGTTTAAAATGTTTTCTATGTTAGAATAGATTCCAACATTTAAGAACCTACAGTACAGTATTTAAAACTACCAGCTCTTGTCTGAATGTGTTTCAATATTTTAAGTTGATAAGTTTATGGTTAGCAGTAGTAATTTGTCAGTGTTTTGAATATTTAAAAGCAAAAGGACCTAGGCCTGAATTAAGGATTTTGTTTAATACTTCAGACTGGTATGTGTAGACAAACTACAGCATGGCTATTCTGTGGTTTAAATGCTACAATTAACTCTCAGATTATTTTGGGTTTTTCTTCCCATGATCCATTGTGAATTAGAGATCAGAACTAAAGTTTTTGAAGTGAATGAAAAGCTAAATATAAAATTCAAACGCACTTCACGGTTTCAATGGATACCATACCTGCTAGACCGGAAAGTGAATTTCTTATTCAAATCTCTAGCCACAAAACTTAATGAGGTTTTTTTCCCCATTTAAAAGCCGGATGGGAGCCGGAGTTCATGGCCTAGGACACTGACTCTACTAATTATAAACTCTGAGTCATCTTTTGCCCAAAACACAGTTTTACATTCAAATTGCAGGGTTAGTCTTTCATGCTATACAACAATTCCACATCCTGTCTTTAAAATACCAAGATTTTCCTTTTAAGAAGCGAGGACTGTTTCTTTCAAAATAACTCGCAGTAGACACCTTTGAAAACTGTTTCTTAATGTTGGCATCATTCATCCATAGCAGGCTGTTTTATACCACACATAATGTAGCAGTTCTGGATATGAATACTTCTTACTTGGATTAAAGTACCAAACACAGATAAGCGGGGTTAGGGTGCATTATTAAAAAAGGCTTTTATTATATTTAAAAAGGAATTTACATTTTCAAATTATTGAACATTTACCTTTTACCTCTATCTCTATAAGTTAAATAACTTATTATAATTTCACTTTGTTCCTCATAATAAACCTTATAAACCATAATGAATCTTACTAGTAAGTGGGCTTAATTTCACAATGGATGTGAATGATCTAATGAATACCACGTTTATTGAAAAAAGGTCGTTTGCCCTGTTAAATCTAGTTTGCTGCAGGTTCATGCAAGATCCATGCAGTATAAAATGCCAGTCATAACTGCAGCAAACTGACGAAGTTAACAGTGAGATGACAACTTTCTGTAACAGGTTTACCGACATTTTACGGCTCAATTCATTATGTTGATTTCCATTTGTTGCAAATGGGTCATAGGCTCCTTGAAGCTGTGGTGCCTTTCAGAAGTAAAGCCAAGCCTGGGCACTGGTATCTGAGCTTCACGCGCCACACATCATCTCACTGATCTTCAAATGCACATGCATGACTGTCTTTGTCTTGCAATAAACCCACTGAGCAGAAGAAGGGTGTGAATTGTCCTGCTGGCGTGCTGTAACATCAGGATGAGCTCACAGGAAGGGCAGCAGGCAGCCAGACAGTCAAGTTTCCATCTGTCATGTTAGGTGGAGTTCGATTTTGTTTACACTCTCCCACCCAGGTCATCACCTCCTCATCACTGGGTTTGTTGTACACACAGTTGTTGTAGGCCTTTAGAGTGGTCTGCACAAAACCTTTGACTCATCACTCAAGAGGACTGGGCTCCACTTGGCAAGTCCGCCCGAGATGACCTAGTCTAGCTCCCTACATGCCGCTGGCAGAAAAGCGTTGATCTGACGATAAACCGAGCGTTCTGCTTTCTTTCTGAGCTCTTGATTACTGAGGCTAACAGACTCCCCTTACTTGAACTTACTTCAATTAGACCTTTTTAACCGTTCTGCACCCCCCAAAAAAGACTCTGAGGCTGAAAAATTAATTCTCAACAGATGAATAAAAGGGGCTCAACAATCATTTAGAGTTCCATTGAAAAACAAACTGATTAAGAGCAGAGATGTGCCAAAAGCTGGAAGACGAGAAAATCCTCCAAGACCAGGGTTGAGAAACACGCAATTGGCCGAATCCCTCCTCTCCTCCCCCCGAGCCTGCATTGCAGCACAGCGCCAAACCTCAGCTCGGATTCAAAATGGCCAATCACGGTGCAGCGTGCAGGCTTTCGGCTTCAACCAATCAGCGTCGGCCTTGCTGCAACACTGGTATTTTCAAACGGAGGATATCCTACAGCAACAGAGAGGGAGTAACGTACCGTGGTAAAAAGGAAAAGCAGAACGAGCACTTTATTTTTTTAATTTTTAAGCTCCTTTTAAAATATAGTATAATCTAAACTGGGCGCTTTGTAGGTAAGCTTTTATTTCGTATGTTTTTGTAAACTGTAAAGGAACGTACTCTTTCTTCCGTCTGATGAGATTAGTTATGCGGCGATGCGATGAGCTTTTCTCCTTTAATGAAATATTTTTTGTGTTTGAAAATCGAAGTTTGGAATATACATACGACCTTAAGTACTGGTTTTCATTTAGTCTCCAAAGGGTATAGCCACGTTAATCTTCAGGGGTATTCGGTTGAGGGAGGCTTTTTTAACAGACCAGACACCACACTCGCCCTTTCCAAAAACAGCCTACCTAAAATTCTCCTTTTCTTACTCGTGTCTGATGTCTTACCCATGTCAGTTCAGTGCCATTCACGACTGAACTGCTCAGGCCTTTGGACTTAACACAGATCAGCTCTCGTTCGTTTTCTAAACGTGTCACGGTTTGGACTGGAGTGTTGGACGTGATTATTTCTATAATCCCCAGCAATATATTGCCCATAAATAAAAAGTAACAGTTCCTAATGCCTCGATTATTGGTCATAGAGGAAGGTTTTGTTGTAAATATAAATATCTCTGAAATGTACCGTAAAATTATTTAACGTTTTTAGCGTAGGTACTTTATATTTTCTTGTCCAAGTGGGTTATTTTGTCAAAAACGTGCTTAATTCAGCAGATTGTGATTCGAGTATTGGAAAGGATTTGTCTAGATTTCCTTCCTATGCAGTTAGTGATAGTTGGCTCATTTGACTCGGGACTTATTGCTAACATTTGCACTCTTAAACTATTTTTAATTTCTAATTCTTCCTTACACCTTCATTTTGTAGACACAGATTGTTTTGATATTGCTTAGTCATGTTTTGTGAAGATGTGGCTTAATTATACACATTTATATACGATTAGTTGACCATTGATAGCCTCAAAGCATGTTCTTCGGCAGTAGCTAGAGAAGGGAGGTGCTTTAAATGATGAATACAGGTTCATCATCTTTGTAAATGGCTGTCGTATGTTAAGCCTGATGTCTCTGCAATAAGAAAACTCTTAAACATTAACCACGGTTCTAGGCTCTTGATTTGTAAAGGTTCTGATTTTTTTTTGTGTGAGATGGGGGGACATCAACTCCCTTGAAACGTGAAACTGAGTAGTGGTAGCAGGGATTATTCTTACGGCCAAATCTCGGAAAGAACAATTTGCTCATTTGACATCGCGGCGTTCGAACACTTTTTATTCTCCCCTTCCCTTTCACCCAGTTGGGTTTAATTACACTGTGCTCTTCCCCTGATTGTGTGCAGTCGCCTTTTTTTAGAGAGCGGAGCGCTGCGCCTGTGGTTTAAATGGTCAGTTCAGGTTGCTCCCTGCTCGCCTGAGCCCCTCCCTCCGAGTCTCCGCCCTCAGAGGCGTTTCAGACCTCGAAGAGTAATGATCACAACTCGGCACTAAAATATCATCACACTGCCCCGCTTTAAAGACAATGTAAGTAGCGAAATCGGATATTATTCATACAACACCGAATGCGATTATTAAATCAAAGCTCCCGTGTTTTGCTGGGCCCAAGGTTTCGCTTCATGCAACTGCGCTTAGCTGGGGTGTTACTGCGTTTTCAGGGCCTGGTAGGCGTTATTGCTTTTGTGTCAAACAATAGCCGGTCTGTTATCCTGTAAACATGCAACGGGGTTGTGCATTTTCGTTCGGGAAGGATTTTTTTCCCTCTCCTTGAAAGACTATGCTCCGGTTGCTAGGTCGTTGTTTGTGAAAAGGGCTGGGTGCTGTTGTCGATCGTGTTTACGTTGGCTGGGCTCGAAGACTAGGCAGGGCCCTGCCTGGGCTCTTTCTTCTTTCTCGGGGAGAGATGCTTGCAGAGGGATAAGAGCCATAGAAGGATCAGCTCTTCAAATTCTGCCGACACCGAAATATCTCGATATAATTTCGAAACGGCGAGTGCATTGCGTTGTTTTAAGCGGATACGAGGGACGCCGCAATGTACGTTTTGAGCATCTTCATCATATTGTGACCTTACGTCGTTTTTTTTTTAAGAGGAAGGTCTGCTGTACATACTGCGTTGTTATACTTGTGCATGGATTTTTGTATGCATTATCTGTGCGAATTTAAATGACTGCCTCAGTTTCTAGTCTGTACATAATACGAAGTGCCCCCGTTTCTCCCAAGTAGGAGCTTTGGTTGAAATTCGCATTTCAAGTACGCCATAAATCAAGAATCAGTCTAGGAAAATTTCTTTGAACAAGGTAAATCAAAAGCGGTGAATATTATATTACTGAATTTGTATAGGTGTCTTTAATTACACGTTTTGTATACTTTAACTCATTTACGTCCCAATATGTCTGGAATCAGGTTTCATGTCGGTTTTTATATATGTCCTGTCCTTATTAACTGATGATGCTTCATTACTACAGTTGCTCAGGTGGACTTCACGTTAAAAGCAATTTAAACCATTTATGTTTAGATCAATATGAAAGTCGAAACTGGAGACCGTTAAGAAGCATTTTGTGTTTATTATATAGTAGATATATCAAAGAATTCTCACTGCTACGTTTCACTCCTGTAAGAAAAACAATTTGGAATGTGTGCATTGGTCTTGAATGTCTGAAAGAATAAGGTCAGTAAGATTTAAAAATCAAGAGATCTTTGGACTTATTTTGAGAAAAGTAATGGTTCGTTTTTTACACATCTGTTACTTTGTCCCATGTAAATTATCCAAGAAGACTGCAATTAGTCAGGAATCCCCCTAATCAATTCTGGGTTACATCTTGCACATGCAGAACAATCTGTATGGATAAACATTTTATACAAGTGATTAGTAAATGCAGTCAAAACCTTGCATCAGAATATGGGTTGCAAGATGATTAAATATCCAGCAACATACTTCACAGAATGTTATGTCAGCCTTTTAAGAGTTTGTGGTTGTTGGAGGTCATTGTAACTTTTAATATATGCCATATGTAGTTTTCATCTTTTTTTTTAATTAGTAGCATAGAACAAGCAAGACAACTTGAATGTACTATGGCAACAAGCAATTTGTCAATGAAATATGTTATGCTTGCCAGCTTGTCATGTACAGTGCCAATTAAGTAGTTTTCCTAAAATACTATTAATAGCTTGGATCTGTAATGACATTGTAGCTTCTTTCCAAACTGAAAGAAATTTGTGTTGTACAGCTTGTAAGCTCAATAGCATAAACATCTGGACTTGGAAAACTGTTTTAGGTATATGGATCTGCTTGCTTCCAGCATGGAGAATGTTTCAATTTCTTTCAGAATTTAAATTTATCATGTTTTGAACTTCTATAGCTCTTGGATTAATGCCAGGTGATAATCTCTAATCATACTGGCTATGTGAAAATAATACATTTTTGTATTAGAACTTGGAGTAAGCCAATATTCACTAGATTGTAATTTTCAACATTATACAACCGATTAACGGTGTATGGTGAAGGAGTTTATCACTTATCTGCTGTTTTGGAGCTACACTTGCATAATAGCTGCCTTGTGCCACCCAGCTGTGTGCTGTACTTCATTGGTTGGGTGAAGTAAAGGACAGGAGACTGCTTAACCCATATGATAGTTACTAAAATGCACTACATTTTTTAATGTTTGCATTAATTCCCAAAAATGTATATAACACTTCAAATGAGTTATTGTGATGAAGAAATGATCAACATTGCTTTTTGCTGGACTTCCTGTTCCCATGCTGGTCAGATTTAGAATGACTGAAGTGTGAAACTTTATTTTTCAGCAAGTCTTAAGTGAGAAAATACTACCATGGGGGATGACAGTGAATGGATGAAGTTGCCTATTGATCAAAAATGTGAACATAAGGTGATTTGTTTAAGTTTTTATTTACTAGTAGCTCATCACTATAGAATATTTAACTGGTTACTTCTAAATTTTAATGATGTAGCAAAATGGGGTGCACAATGATTAAGGGCTTATGGCATTTTTCTATATGCAGTACTTTTCTCAAGCTTCAGCTTCATCATATTTGTGTATAATTCATAAGTTGAGATATTGTGTATGTTATTCTATTGAAATTTTAACCCACATTGAAATGTAAAAAGTTGGTGTTGGAAATTTGTCCAGAATGAGATGTCAAAGTTCATGCACTTTGCATTTAACTATCTTTTAGTGTAACTAGTTGTGCTAGTCTACAGATGGACTGAATTGACTCAAAAGCTTTTGGAAGTTTTTTTTAATCATAATGCTGCCTTTTTCCCCAGCTTTGGAAGGCAAGATTAAATGGATACGAGGAGGCTGTGAAATTATTTCAGAGAATTGAGGATGAAAAGAGCCCAGAATGGTCCAAATACCTTGGATTGGTAAAGAAATTTGTTACAGACTCAAATGCAGTGGCTCAATTGAAAGGCCTGGAAGCAGCACTTGCCTATATTGAAAATGCTCATGTTGCAGGAAGGTAAGTATCTCATTTCAGTATTTTTTAGAGTTTTATTTGGGTGTGATTAAACTGTGTAATTCTTTCATGGTATAAACAAGCTGCTGGATCTTTTTAAAATGTCAGGTTCTCTGATCAGAGGCATACAGTATTTGTCTCCATGTGAAAATGGAGTTTGTAATCTGCTAAAAATAATTGTAAGAAAAACATCAAATCCAGCTACTGTGTGATGTGCCCTGAAATAAAGGGTTTATGTGCATCTATTCCTCAGAAGCCTGGGGACTACGTTTCAGGTTTTAACTCACAAGAGAGGTTGTTGATGTTATTTTCAGAATCAGGCATAGTATTCTATAGTGGTCTTTTGGCATTGGTCTTTTGCTAGAACCTTCCTTTTTCAGTACCTAGTGCTTTTGTGCAAAGTCTCACGGATATTCCACTGAGCTATGAAGTTCCATTTAAATTTTGTTGATGTGAAATATTTTTAGTGCTTATCCAATACTTTCTCACTGATAATGTTTTGTACTTGGTTTCACTCTGGTCACATACAAAATGGACACTTTTTGTATTGTGATGTTTTATGTATTGAACAATTGGTGGTCTTACCGCCTTTATTAAAGTTATATTTAAATGCTTTAGCCCTTTATAGAATAAACTTTAAAAAGCTCCCCTGTGTTTTCTTTTTAGAACAACTGGGGAGGTGGTCTCTGGAGTTGTCAGTAAAGTTTTCAACCAGCCCAAAGCTAGGGCAAAAGAACTTGGGACAGAAATCTGCCTGATGTACATTGAGATTGAAAAGGGTGAGGCTGTTCAAGAGGAACTGCTAAAAGGACTGGATAACAAAAATCCTAAGATTATTGTAGCATGTGTTGAAACATTAAGGAAAGCACTTAGGTGAGTATGTTTACTTTTAATTATCCCCATTTAGGTTTTGCATTGCAAGAACTAAACCTCTGAAATTCAGACCTCTTCTGTCTATTGACTAAGTGTGTTTAAAAATGATTGCAACCAATCTGAAGAAAAATCTTCTAGAAACATTTTTAAAGCTAGTCCCTGTTTTAACTTATTTTTTGTATGTTTTTTTTCTCCTCTAGTGAATTTGGTTCAAAAATTGTTACCCTGAAGCCAATAATTAAAATATTGCCAAAATTATTTGAATCACGAGAAAAAGCGGTTCGAGACGAGGCCAAAATGTTTGCGGTGGAAATCTATAAGTGGATTCGTGATGCTTTGCGACCACCCCTCCAGAACATTAATTCTGTACAGGTAAATTTGGAAATTTGTCAAGCCAAATTGGATAAAATTTGTAATGCTAAGTGTCTTGTATTTTGCACAGAACTACATGTGACATTTGCTATCTGGGAAGGAACCCTATTGTAACATGGCTGCCTCAAAGACAATAACTGTTTAGTTTTATTGTCAAGGTTGCCTTTGTTTACTTCAATATTGCAAGTCCCATTTTGTTAGGATGGTACTGTTGATGCTTTCCTTGAATGGATAGATTTTTTTCCGAATTACATGAAGTGACTAATGTTTCCCCACCCCCTCAGCTAAAAGATCTAGAAGAGGAGTGGGTAAAGGTGCCTCCTTCGGCTCCAAAACAGTCCAGATTCCTTCGCTCCCAACAGGATCTGAAAGTAAAGTTTGAACAGCAGCAGGCAGCAGGTGCAGATGAAGTTGATGGTAAGATTGTAGTAGTTTTGTGCTGCTGGCCTTTGTAATGTTTCCGTAATTCTCTTTGGGGTGTGGTACATTTATTAATTCTGTCAAGTTTTGAATTATAGAACTGGATAAAGGGATATGCAGACTGTTTTATATTTATAGGCCTGTATTGTGTACATCAAGCAGATATAAATGTAATAATGAATTAGTTACTGGTCTGGGAAAATTTTGGAAATGAACTATTTGTGTCATGCTAAAAGTGTATTGTATCTTACCTTTGGCCTTCTCCGTTTTATTTTTAGGAGATGATGAAGAATCTGCCCCTCAGGTTGATCCTTATGAGCTACTTGAAGCAGTGGAGATCCTTTCAAAATTACCTAAAGATTTTTATGAGAAGATTGTAAGTTAATAATTTTAAACATCACATTTTTATATGAAGCTGACTGCACATTATTGGTTTAAAATTAGCATAAAGAAGATAATTCTAATATGTAACTGTTCATGAGAAAGTTTAAAAGTATTGGAACAAATTGAGCAATTCAGCTCACTGTTAACCATGAGAGAAAGCAAAATTGCATGTTTGTTGTGAAATGCTGAAAGAAAGTGTATGTACTTGTTACTTTTGGTTACATGAATCATGAGATCTGGGTAAGATGTTGAATTTACTTAGTGTGTAGATGAGGTCTCTTAAAAACATTTTTTTTGTAAAATGCAATGTATCTGATTTTCTTGTTCTGTTTTCTTATCTCTAGGAGGCAAAGAAATGGCAAGAGAGGAAAGAGGCTTTGGAAGCCTTAGAGGTCTTAACAAAAAATCCCAAAATAGAAAATGGAGACTTTGGGGATGTGGTCAGAGCACTTAAAAAGGTAAGAATTGTGCTTTAATTATGATACTAAAATTTTAGTGAGAAAGATAACAATGCTAATGTATTTTTTTTTGCTTACATTTTGTAGGTTATTGGAAAGGACACAAATGTCATGCTTGTTGCATTAGCAGCAAAATGTCTTGCCGCGCTGGCCAGTGGTCTCAGAAAGAAATTTGGGACATATGCAGGCCATGTAAGTTTGTTTTCCAATGTTCTTGAGTTACAGCTTCTTGCTCAGGATTACCACCCTGCTTTGTGTTTATGGCTATTGCTAAGACGATTAGGTATTAACTCAGTGTTCGGTTTCATAAGATCATTATTTATTTCGTCAACTTAAAAGGTATCAAGAAACTAGCTGATGGATTGTTTAATGGGACTAAAACATAATTAATCAATAAATAGGACTGTTTACATTTTCAAGGTGGTGCCAACAATTTTAGAAAAGTTCAAAGAGAAGAAGCCTCAGGTGGTACAGGCATTACAGGAGGCCATTGATGCAGTGTTCCTTACTGTAAGTATCATACCCTTTTCCCAGATGTATTTCAAATTCTGAGTTTTGCAAATCCCTTCATGCACTTATTTTTGTAGACTTTTGGTTCTTATGATTATATATATAAACTTATGTTCTAAACTGTTGGTAATTTCTATTGGTATAGATTGCTCACTTTTTCTTTCCATTTTATAGACGACTCTGCAGAATGTCAGTGAAGATGTACTGGCCGTGATGGACAATAAAAATCCTTCAATTAAGCAGCAGGCATCTTTATTTCTTGCAAGAAGCTTTCGACACTGCACCCCTTCTACACTGCCAAAAGGTCTCTTGAAACCATTTTGTGCTGCACTTCTTAAGGTATTGTGTACAGCGAGGCATGCTTAATGAATTCATAATGAACTGTTAAAGTGCCCAGTCAAATTAAGTCAGTAGTGTCCAAAATTAATACAAATATTTTCTTGTGGTGCAGCAAATTAATGATTCAGCTCCAGAAGTAAGGGATGCTGCTTTTGAAGCTCTTGGTACAGCAATGAAAGTAGTTGGAGAGAAAGCTGTGAATCCATTTTTGACAGATGTTGACAAGCTCAAACTTGACAAGGTAAGCAGTGAATTCAAAATAGTTCAATAGATTAACAGTTGAGTTTAGAAGCTCAGGAGTTCTTGCTGGTATTTCTTTGTGTCTTGGGGGAAAAAAGAGCACACAGTGTAAGAATTGATATGTCTTTGTCACCTTATAATTGTATATTTGTCTAATTTTGGCCAGCCCCATTGCTTAGAAGTGGTTATTTTTAAAGACTGCAGTAATGCCTTTTTTTTAATAGATTAAAGAGTGTGCTGAGAAGGTAGAATTGGCAGGTGGGAAGAAAAGTGCAGGAGGAACAGAGAAGAAGGAGAAACCTGTTGCAAAGCCAGAGCCAGCAGCTGAAGCACCTGCCAAGTCAGCAGCGCCTTCCAAAAAGGCACCTATTTCCAAGGTAAGGAGCAAAGAGTAGGGGCAGCATGTTTCCCACACTTGGCTCTTGCAACATTTTTCTGTTTTTTAGTCTTGGTGAGGGATGAGGATAAACATACACAAGTCCTGTCATAGCCAGAATTCATTCAGATCACCAGATGCATTCATCCCTCATATGCATGTTTAAGTCCTGTTTTTTTTTCTTCTTTTTTATACTGAGTGAATGCTGTAGTCATACTTTTGATGTGCTCTGAGAGTATTGTATAGTAGTTTCCTTACTTTATTTTTCCCCCTAAGGGTACTGGGCCTCCCAAGAAGGGAAAACCTTCAGCAGCAGCTGCTGCTGGTGTGAAGGGAAAGAAAGCAACAGAGACAAAAGAAGTAGTGGAGGCTGAACTCTCTGTAAGTAAAAATGTTGTTATCCACTGGTTGGACATTTTGAAATGAAGAGATGCACTTCAATTTTCTGATGGCATAAACTTGCTCACAGGCTACATCTGTTGGAAACATTGGGCTCAGGGTACCACTCCTATTTAAATACAGATTCCAAGTAGTGCTCTAGACAGAACTTTTCACCAAGTAGCTGTTAGCTTCCTGAGCAAACATTATGGGCGCTAGATGTCATTTGTAGGGATGCAGGTTTTGTGAAGGGGCAGTGATTCCCACTCGCAAGATTGATTTCCTGCTTGTAGGTCCATTTATAAAGGTTGAGGCACTATTATGTTTCAGGCGGAAACACCTCAAATTTCACCAAACATTTGGTCACATTTGAGTCACTCTGGCTTCTGTTTTTGACAGATTGAAGTTTGTGAAGAGAAAGCTGCTGCTGTGCTTCCTGCTTCTTGTATGCAGCTTTTGGACAGTGGTAACTGGAAAGAGAGACTGGCCAGTATGGAGGAATTTCAGAGGGTAAGGCTGAGCCCCCCCCGTCTTAAACTTTCTTGACTGAGGTTTAGAGACAGTGTAATGTGCATTTCAAAGTTTTATTTCCATAGCCTATCATTTTCCACAACCCACATTTATATATTTGGACCTTTTACGCATTTTTGGCAGCGTCTTCAATGGTCAGTCTTATTTTTAGAATATCTGTAAAATACACTCTGCAGAGTATTTTCTTGTTTATTTTCAGGCTGTAGAGCAGATGGACAGAAATGAAATGCCCTGTCAGGCTCTGGTAAGGATGCTGGCAAAGAAACCAGGATGGAAGGAGACAAACTTTCAGGTATTTCGTGTTCTGTAATTGTAAACACCGATAAAACAATGGAACTTTTAGTGTTGTTTCCTAATTTATATTTTGATTTGTAGGTGATGCAGATGAAGCTGCACATTGTTGGACTGGTTGCTCAAAAGGGGGTTTTCTCTAAAACCTCTGCTTTTGTTGTCCTTGACGGCTTAGTGGATAAAATAGGTGATGTGAAATGTGGCGCTAAATCTAAAGAGGCCCTCACTGCAATAGGAGAGGCTTGCTCTTTGCCGTGGACTGCTGAACAGGTCAGTGCTGCTGATGAGATTTTAAAGTACTATTGGTATTTACATGTAGACTATATGCTGACTGCTATGTAAAGTACACTTTTTAAACCTCTAAAATTTGTGAATACAAGTGTATTATGAATTAAACCATTCAAATGTTGCAGGTTGTCTCATTGGCATTTGCACAGAAGAATCCTAAAAACCAAGCTGAAACTTTGAACTGGTTAGCAAATGCAATGAAGGAATTTGGTTTTGGAGGGTAAGTTGAAACTAATCATAGTTTCTGTATATACTGTATGGGGAAAAATTATTTGAGTGCTTTAGCTGTCAAGTTTGAGCTACAGCGAGCTTTATTTTTTTTTTTGCAGAATAAATGTCAAAGCTTTTATTAATAATGTGAAGACCGCTTTGGGTGCAACAAATCCTGTAAGTATATCCAGTTTTTAGTATGACTTTAGAAAAATAATTCTCAATACCCACATTGTTATGGACTTTGACTAGTACACAGGTTATAAATAAAAATTTTCACTTTAACCAATGAGTAAGTTTTTAGCTTCTGAGCAGCACACTAAATTCTTTCCTCCAGGCTGTAAGAACAGCTGCCATCTCCCTGCTTGGAGTGATGTACTTGTACATGGGAGCACCTCTACGAATGTTTTTTGAAGATGAGAAGCCCGCCTTACTAGCACAGATCGATGCAGAATTTGAAAAAGTAAGATACTTTTTAATTTAATGAATGCATTAAATAGTGTTCTGAAGTTCAATTTTTTCTCGGCATCTGGAAAGTGTAAGAGTTTTCCTATTATACTGAATATAATATTGATGCAGTAGATCATTCAGCAACCATATAATCTGCCTTTCAACATTTTCTTGCAGTTATGGATCAATCCAGCAAAACTATAGTAAATACTGTCATTATTTCATTTCTCGTTAGGTTTTGTAATATCCTCTGTATTAAATAGGCTGTGGTAATGTATACTGTTCAGTACCGTTTCTGTAAGTTTATTTCTCAAAGAGGTTAGAATACAAGCTTTTCTGCACTTTATTCCAAGCTTTTTTCTTAATTGGTTGAGTTATCTGTTTCTGCAGATGCAAGGCCAGTCACCGCCAGCACCCTTTAGGGGAACTAAAAAGGGAGGAGAGGAAGAGGTGGAGGAGAAGGAAGAGCAGGAAGAGGAAGGTGGAAACGATATCATGGACCTTTTGCCAAGATCGGACATATGGTTTGTTTTTTTATTTCGGGAATGTTATGAAACACTATAGTGTTACTCCTTCATAATTTTTATTATTTGTGAAGGTCTTTTATACAAAATTAAATTTCTAGGTTTTAAGGGTCTTGAATTTTGACTGTATAAAGGAGTGATTTCCTCCCTGATGTTTTTTTTTGTACAGTGACAAGATTACTTCAGAGCTGGTGTCCAAGATTGGGGATAAAAACTGGAAAATCCGAAAGGAAGGGCTTGATGAATTGACAGCAGTGCTTAATGAGGCCAAATTTATTCAGCCAAATATCGGAGAGCTTCCTATTGCGCTTAAAGGCCGCCTTAATGACTCCAATAAGATCCTGGTATGGTTACTAAACTTTGTTTATATATAATGATAGTAACTCAGGTGGCTGTATTTATAATATACATGTATTATATATATATAAAATTATAGTAGTTCATGTGTTGGCTGCAAAGGAGCAAGTAATAGGTTTATTCCATGCTGAAAAGAGAAGAAAGAAAACACATTTCGGCCGTGGAGCCTTCTTCAGGTGGCTTCTGAAGAAGGCTCCACGGCCGAAACGGTTTTCTTTCTTCTCTTTTCAGCATGGAATTAAACCTATTACTTGCTCCTTATATATAATGATAATGTGTAACACGATGCAAAGGGTTTTAGCAAGCATTTAAAAGGGAGTCAAAATCTTTACCTTGCATTAGTGATCAAGAATATTGAGTTCTGCACACTTTTCTTATGCAGGTGCAACAGACATTAACTATTCTACAGCAGATGGCTACAGCCTTGGGCCCAGGCCTCAAACAGCATGTAAAAAGTCTGGGAATCTCCATTATCACTGTGCTTGGGGACAGTAAGGTACGCATTTTATTGAAACACTTGTTTGTTAAAGCAAGCCAAGCTATAGATTTAGGATCTTTTGTGACTAACTTGGTCTTTTAGAGCAATGTTAGAGCTGCTGCCCTGACAACACTCAATGCATGGGTGGAACAAACTGGCATGAAGGAGTGGCTGGAGGGAGAGGATCTGTCTGAGGAGCTGAAGAAGGAAAACCCATTTTTAAGGCAGGAGGTATGAACAGCAATGAAATACATGTTTAGTATAGCTTTCCTGGATTTATAACTTTTGCATTTTGTTCATTTAACAACACAAATCCCCTTTCAAGATCTGTGAATTTTCAAAAAATAGTTGAGCAGTTTTTCAAATAAAGCTATTACAATTTATGTAATAAGCTATTACATGGGGGGGAAGAAAACCAAAATAGTTGGAAATGTGCACTTTAATGTCTATTTGGGTTTTGAAGATTTGAACTGCTGTCACATTTCCACAGAATATAATGAGTATATTTTCTCTGATTTTCAGTGTGTTGTAGTAATTTGGGTGTAAGTGCCCAGACCATGGTGAGAGTCATGATTGTTACTATTGATCCTGTCCTCAGTTTTGAAAACGAAACGATTTTTTTTTTAAAAGACCACATTATATTTGGCCTGCATGACAAAGGCAGAAGTGATCTGAAAAATGACATGTAATGTGTTGGTGCCCTTTTACAGGTATTGGGTTGGCTGGCAGAGAAGCTTCCAACACTGCGCACTGTTTCGCCAGACCTAATGTTTTGCGTGCCCTACCTTTATGCCTGTCTTGAAGACCGAAATGGAGATGTAAGAAAGAAAGCTCAAGATGCTCTTCCAACATTCATGATGCATCTTGGATATGAGAAGATGCTGAAAGCAACAGGCAAATTAAAGGTACTAAAATAATAACCCAGGTATTGATTCAGTCTGTAATGCATACTGCTGAAACCTAATGGTGAATGACTGTTGGGTAGTTGATTATTTCTATCAGTGCACTCTTAAGCTAGAACCACTCAGTATAATGATGACATTAGTTCTACTCAGACTGTATCTCTAATGTATTATTTTTCCAAGACTGCTTCCAAGGACCAGGTTGTAGGCATGCTTGAAAAGGCAAGGGCCATCATGCCAGCCAAGCCAGCTGCTCCTGCAAAAGCTGGACCTTCCAAATCAGGAGGCACAGCTCCAGCTGCAAAACAAGCTGCAGGTTAGTTCACGTACTGTTACAGATATGGAAGGCACATTGACATCTTTGTGGTGACGCTACATTTCTAAAAAAAAAAAGTCATCAAGGCACATTGTGAAAATCATGTGGTTAAAGTATCATTTCAGGTTAAGGTTGAAAATAGTGATCCTTTTACCCTTTTTCTAAGGGGCATTGTTACAATACTGCACTTGACTGCAGCCTGACGCAAAACATGTCACAAATCTAGCTTGTTTTGCTTTCAGTATTGGCCACACTACTAGCCTATAAGTTTTACAGTTGACTCCCAATGGCCTCCTTTGATCAGTCCTACTAATTATTATTTCTTTGGCATAAACCATGTCTGTTTAATAATATATCAGAAGAAAGATAGCTGGTTGCAGCAACAATGGTTTCTTTTGATGCTATACAAAAAAGTAGTTTTAATAAAATATAATGTACTAACTTAATATGCTAACTGTTTATTATTGCTAGGTCCCACTAAACCCCAGTCTGTCAGCGATGATTCTGGGATCGGTATTGCTGATTCTAAACCTGATTCAAAAAAGACCAAGCCAGCAGCTGTCAAAGGGAAGGTAAGTAACTCACGGGCTTAATAAAAATCAGTTGTCTCTTTGATTTATTATAATTATGAATTTATTATTGTTGTTTACTATAAAACTTCAGCAAATACAAATCACATGTACCTATAACTTTTTTCTAGGTAGTACTTTAAAGTATTTTGTAATTGGCTGTTTGAAACATTGTATTAGTTTTTAAATTACATTATTAATCAACTACCACCTTCACAGTCTATAATCTGGTCAACTACACCTGCTTGTCCTCTCAGGTCTGAGTTTCATTTTCCCTGTTGCTTATGTGACTCAATTTGTAGCTAAAATGAGGGCCTACCTAGGTTTCTAACTATTCCTATGCACTGAAATGTGGTGTACCTGTAGATTTAATTAAGATGCAATTATACTTGATCTCTACCTTAAAGTAATTAAGTCCTATTAGCCTATTCCCAATTTTTTTTAACGAAAGTTCTGTAATAGGCAGTTGCAAATCAATTGTGCTAATGAACATTCCGGTTGTGGATTTAGATAACGTACTAAGTTTTCAACTCAGGGTCACTTAACAAATGCTACGCATTCAGTAGATTTATTCGCTCCTATCAATAGCTGAAAGTTTATTTCAGGTTCTTTGGTGTTGAAATTAAACTCTTTGAGTGAACGAAGCCTTAGCATTATTTCTGGCTTGCATTAGGAATGTCAGAAATTTCCCATCTAACAGAGCAAGGATTTTTCTGGCAACATCAGAATTTTTATTTTTAACGAGTTTAGAAAAATATAAAGCTTTACTGAGGTATCGTCTTAGGTACTGTAAATAGGCTTAAGTTTGTCTTGGATTCTATGCCTCACGTGCCATCTATAAATACACTGCTTCAGGATATAACTTCTGCCCTGTGTAAATTGTATTCACTTCACTTCCTGTGAATGGTTTTTAATGTGCTCCTGTATACATAAGGACCTGAGTAGTCTAGCTTTAGGACTTAGTGCATGAGAATAGTTCTCCAATTAATCTGAGATCTGTGTGTAAGCCTTTTATTCAGGTCCACCAGATGTTTTGGTAGAATTCTTAATGTGTAATTGTTCTGATTTGTTTAGGAGGTTTACTGTAGGGTTTTTTCTTGTTTTATTCATGTACTGTTGCATAGCAGCACATCTTTCTCGAAGCTTAAGACATTTTCAGTGAATTTGTGTGCGCAGTGCACTGAATTTTGTTTTCCATCACTTACAAGTGAGTGACATTTAAGCAGTCTGTTTTCACGTTTTTCAGATGGGATACTTCTTCCTTTTAGGAAAACAAATTTATCTCTGCATTATCTGTTTTGAGCAGAACTGTGACTCCTAGTCAAGGGATTACCCAAAACTATACTTAATCCCTGAAAGCTTCCTTGTATGATCTTTACAAATTAAACCCCATAATTTCTGAAAGAAGGAATAATGATTTTTTGGTTCATCAGCAAATGGTCATTTTTTTGTTGGTAGAAAGCTTCGCAAGATGTCAATGATTCAATGGAAAAGGATAATAGTCTCAATAAACCTAACAGACAATCAAAAGGAAAGCCAAGTAAACAGGTACAAATTTCAGTTTCAAGGAAGGACTGCATAGTCTTACATCACTTCTTGCATGATAATGCTTGTAGTTTTCATAGGGCTCTCACGGGGAATTAACATCTCAAAGTGGGTGAGCACATCTTTTTTTAGTTTATTTTAGACTAAGGTTGGAGCACTCCTTAACGTTCACTTATCTAGGCACTAGCTTGCAAATCGTAGCCCAGGACTACATAGGCAATGTAAAAAAAAAAGACATTGCCTGCCTCATTTCACTTCCCCTTCTAGGACTGGAGTTCCCAAGTGGCAGTGCACTGATAGTTCATCAGTAGCATCACTGGGGGTAGGGATGGTAGTAGTTAGCCAGGTATTCAGCTCCCAGTGCAAGAAACTATAACCTCCTCCGTACCTGGATATGTAGGGTGCCTACAGGCTTGTGCTAACATTGGTCAGGGATTTAATAGGTCTCCAATCAGTGCCTATCCTCCTGTATACCACTGTATGGCCTGTGTAGAATCACAGGTGAGGGGGGATTAGTCAGAGGAGCATTTCTGCAGTTCATTCACTGTTTACAGGGCATTATTTATTGCACGGGTGAGGTGTAAAAACATAATTGATTCCAATTTGCAAAGATGTAACATTTGTTCTTTCAATTTTTACAGAAAGTGCATTGCTTCATCCAGTTCACTTTTCTGTTTCTTTCCAGGCTGCTGCTGGGAAGAAGGCTCCAGTGGTGAAGCCTAATGTCAAAGAAGAGGATGACAAGTCTGGCCCCATGTTCATTTTGGTCCCCAATGGAAAAGAGCAGAGAATAAAAGAGGAGAAAGGACTCAAGGTAAAGTTAATTTGTTACACTTGGCAAAAATGTAAAGTGCATTTGATTATTGTATTTCTCTTGTTGATCGTAGCAGAACAAAGTGTAAAAACCAGTATTTTTCCATGTAGATTTTGAAATGGAACTTCATCACTCCTCGAGATGAATATGTTGAGCAGTTGAAAACTCAGATGGCCACCTGTCTTGCAAAATGGCTTCAAGATGAGTTGTACCATTTTGACTTCCAGCACCACATCAAAGCTTTGTCAGCTATGATTGAGGTACGTCTTATTGTTGTGTCTATATTAATAAAACTGGTTGCTGTTCCTATTTGAATGTATTTTTTATCAATGTTCTGCAATTTAATTACATGCGTCTGTCTTTTTTCTACTGTAATTCAATGTGGATGTCAGTTGCTTGTCTTGATTTTACAGCACATGGAAGAGGAAAAAGATGCTACAATAGGTTGTCTGGACCTGATTCTGAAATGGTTTACTCTGCGATTCTTTGACACAAACACCAGTGTTCTGATGAAGGCACTGGAGTACCTGAAGCTACTTTTTGCTATGCTCAGCAGGGAGAACTATCACCTTACAGAATATGAGGCTTCTTCTTTTGTCCCGTACCTAATACTCAAAGTACGTGTCCCTTTTCATTTTTTTTAATTGAATGTGGAACAAACTGAAAGAATATAATGGATGCAGATTGCCATGTGCACATTACTTGAATTTGATAAATTTGTCCAAGTGAAAAGTTTCTAAGAATATTAAGTGTTTTTTAATAGCGAATATTATCCCTGATGACGTGCACAATGGTCTAAGTCATCTGTCTTGCACAACTGAACATCTTTTCATTTAATTTTCCATTTATTTTTATGGTTTCCCAAAGGTTGGAGAATCAAAGGATGTGGTTCGTAAAGATGTGCGTGCCATCCTCAACATGTTGTGTAAGGTTTATCCTGCCAGCAAAGTCTTCACATTTTTAATGGAGGGGACAAAGTCAAAGAATTCGAAGCAGAGAGCTGGTACGTTTGTGGGATGTCATTAACGGGGTTGTGCTAGAACCTTACATGTTGGCATGTAGAAAAGTAGTTTAAGTTTCGGTTCCCCTTCTTCAAAAAATGAAGCAATATTTGGGAAAATTTCAATTTTTATAAAAATGTAAAGTTTTACATTTTTGTTGTTTCCCATAAGACTGACACATTTTCCACTCTCCCGCAGAATGTTTGGAGGAATTGGGCTGTTTAGTTGAATCGTATGGGATGAATGTTTGCCAACCTACACCAGCAAAAGCACTTAAAGAAATTGCAGTCCATATTGGTGATCGGGATACCTCTGTCCGCAATGCTGCACTCAACACTGTGGTTGCTGTGTATAATGTTTGTGGAGAACAGGTTTTCAAACTGATTGGAAATGTAAGTAGTATGGGTGAGCTCAATGAAAGCAAATTCTCCCTCTGTGCGTGTTTTCCTTTGCTGTTGCATATTTTCTAGTCCCCTGTGAAAATCAATGTATTTTAACTTGCACGTTGAATAATTTGTAAAAATGTTGCTAGCCTTTAAAATTGAAATTATACTTAAAAACAATTCTGCACTTTGAATATTGCAAAATCTGTGGTCTGTGTGAAAGCAATCTGGTGGCTTTTTAAAAGGAACTATTCATTGCTGTTCCAACTTTGAAGTTCTGCCATTTGTAAATGGGTCAGCAGTAAATATCAAATGGTTGTGAAGTGTCAGTTGCTTTGAAAATTGCATTATTTACAACAAGAAATGTAATTCAGATTTGATCTGTGTATTGGCTTCTCCCGAACTTCAATACCCATGCATAGGTATCCAGTCCTGAGATTTTTTTTCCCGCTGAAATTTCACAGCTTTCAGAAAAGGAAATGAGTATGTTAGAAGAGAGAATTAAACGCTCTGCCAAGAAAGCCCCTCCACCCGTGAAGCAAGTGGAGGAGAAGCCCCAGAGACCACAACCAGGAAATCCAAACGCAAGTTTAATGCGGAAGCCACCCCAAGATGAAGTACCTTCAAAACTAAAGTATGTGAAAGTTCTTTTTTTGCTTGGGAGTTTGAAGACACCACTGTAAATCTTTATACTTCTTGCTTTTTTCATATTAACATCTGAGGGTCTGTGCTTGTGCTGTTATAAACGTTCCTCATATACGTGCTTTTTATAACTGCATGACTTTCAATCCTAAACTTATTCTTTTAAGTGTGCTTTCTGACTTCTTTCACTGCTTTCCATGGACAGAATTATGTATCGTACATATAGAATGTAAGTATAAAAATTCAGATAAAATTTATTTCCTTACATATTTGTAAAAATGAAGCTGGCTTAAATGTAACAATGGCATTAGGGTTTTTGTTCCAACAGGAGTTAATTCTTTAAGCCCATTAGAGTATTTTTTAGTCTTTGTATTTTTTTGTAATTGTATTATGACTACAAATAAGTGTTTTTTCCTTAATAGTCAAGCACGAACTCAGAATGCACATCCTGAACAGTCTGCTCCTTCAGTTCCTAAAGAGTTCCAGCTAGATCTCGATGTCATTGAAAACGATCACACAAGAGTCAGTGAGCTACCTGACTTGGTACAGCATAAACTGGATGAGCTTTTAGAGCCAGTCATGATACCAGAGCCCAAGTAAGTTATATCTCAATCTTTTTTCTGAAGTGTAAAATCTATATGGAAGACAAGTATGTAATGTACTTTTTCCCTGGGAGAATTATTTCATAAAGAATTCATTGGCATGTTTCTTGAACGGTGATGATGGCTATAGTGACTTTTAAATAATTCAGTTTTCCTGGAAGGTTAGTTTTTTTCATAGTTCTTTTCAATGGATTGACAGTCTGTCAGATTAGGTCTATTTTTCCAGGTAACTCAGCTTTTGTTTCTTTCTGTAGGGTTCGTGCCGTTTCCCCACATTTTGATGACCTGCACAGTAGTACAGCCTCCACTATTAATTTTGTCATCTCACAAGTAGCAAGTGGAGACATAAACACAAGCATTCAGGCTTTGGCACAGGTATACTGGGTTCATTTTCATTAGGATCTGTGTGTAAATGTACATCTCAATATCCCTTTCAGTTTGTTTATTAATTTCTCTGTTTTAATCCCAAGATTGATGAGGTGTTGAGGCAAGAGGATAAGGCAGAAGCAATGTCAGGGCACATTGATCAGTTCCTGATTGCAACGTTTATGCAGCTTCGTCTGATCTACAACACACACATGGCTGATGAGAGACAGGATAAGGAAGACATTGTCAAACTGTACAGCTGCATAATTGGGAATATGCTTTCAGTAAGTGCTGGAATGATGTGCTGCATATACGTTCATATAGACATGATTTCATTCCTCAAACTTCTCTTACTCTTTTGGGTTGGCTGGATTTTTGCAACTGGATTTGTCAGTTTGTTTCATAGTCACCAGCTTTTTTATAACTTTCCTATACTGCCACAGGATGTTTTTCATTCTTTGCTTTTGAGATCATTGTATGCAAGAGTGATGAGTTGCACCAGCTGTTGGAGCAGCTTTGCAGTGGCAGAGCAGCTTCAATCAGATTCCTGATGACAAGCCCATGTGCACAGGGGCCATCTGACTTGCATACAGTTGAATTCATTGTAATGTCTGAATCCAAATCCAGTCATCTGAAATGTCATTTGTAGCCTCTTATTTCAATTGGCTATTAAAAAAATTACTTAAGTTACTCAGCAACTCTTGGGACCTGGGTTCAGTTATAGGCCAGGGCAGCCTTCTTTGTGGAATTGGCACATTCCTGTGGGGTTTTGCCGGATGCTCTGGTTTTCTTCCAACATGATAATAGTTTAATGGTCTTTAGGTTTCTGTCTGTATGTCTTGTTTGATGGACAGAACCTGTCAAGGGTATCCTTGCACCCTTCCTAGATATAAGCAAATTTGAGAATAGATAAATCAACATGAACCCACTTTTAGTTATTTCCTATGAAAATGTGGAGATGAAGTTAAAGGTACCTAAATGAATTCTGTGCACACAAGAACAAATGTTTGCTTGTCTTCTGCCTTTTTTAGCTGTTCTACATGGAGAGTTTGGCTCGGGAAGCATCGATGGGTGTTCTAAAGGACCTGATGCATGGGCTGATCACACTGATGTTGGATACTCGAGTGGAAGACTTAGAAGATGGACAGCAACTTATTAGATCGGTGAACTTGCTGGTTGTGAAAGTTTTGGAGAAGTCGGATCAGACCAACATTCTGAGGTAATTTCATCTTCCTCATTTGTTTGTAGTAGTGCTTCATATCTTGAATAATTTAGCACCGTAGCTCAGACATTTTTATTTTGAGGTTTTATGACGTGATTAAAATTTAGATGTGTGAAGTGTTTTTCATTTGCTTTTTTTGGTAGTGCACTCCTTGTACTGCTACAGGACAGTCTCCTTGCTACAGCAAGTTCTCCAAAGTTTTCAGAACTTGTGATGAAGGTAATTCAAATTTTCAATATCAGACTGACTTTGTACGTGTTGCCAAGTGGATTTTTTCCCTTCAACTTTAGATGTAATAAAAGATGCATGCACATTTGTAATGTTTTCTAATTTTTACCTTGTGTTATGGTCCACAGTGCTTGTGGCGTATGATTCGACTCCTTCCAGAGACCATCAATAACATAAATCTGGACAGAATCCTGTTAGATGTTCACAATTTCATGAAAATCTTCCCCAAAGAGAAGCTGAAGCAACTAAAAAGTGATGTTCCTCACCGAACCCTTAAAACACTGTTACACACTTTGTGCCGATTAACTGGATCAAAGGTATGCTTTTAAATTCTTTTCCATGTAAGTCATTAAGAAATCCTAGATTTTAGCAGTTATCTAGAATTCCTACAAAGCATAGGTGCTAAAATGTTGCAGAACTGTGATTTTTAATGTCTTCACATTTTTTCATGATCAACTTTTTTTCCCCATGTACAGATCTTGGATCACCTGACCATGATTGAAAACAAGAATGAATCTGAACTGGAAGTACATCTTAGGCGGGTTGTGAAACACTCCATTGATCCTTCCAACACAAAGTCGGAAAAGGATACTGAGAAAGGAGCCATCAGAGCAGTGCGTTCATTAAGGGCTCAAAGCATTTGCATTTACTTTTTATCTTCTAAAATTAAATCTTGCTCTCACTAATAAATAAAAACATTGCTCAAAACCTGAATTTCATTAATCTTAAATATAAATCAGCTCATTTTCTTGTGTGCTTTTTCTGTTTGCTTGTAGGACGAAAAGATGTCTAAAGCAAAAGTAAGTGATATACTGTCAGAAATTTTTAAGAAGATTGGTTCCAAGGAAAATACAAAAGAGGTAATGTTTTATTTGGTCTTCTCATTGTGTGATAGCTGTGGTACTTAATTTTTGAACATTTTCTACAAATGATTATACAACAATAAATGGTTTGATCTCTGCCTGGGCAAAACAGCTTAAATGTTTTCCAGTTGTTAATTCATCAATTTGATAACTTTCTAGGTTGAAAATCTTAAACTTGAATTATAGGAAATATTAGAATCCGATCATTACATGTTAAATACAGGTTTGGTTTATTGGCATTCAGTTGAGTAGAAGTTCCTTGTTTCTTTGATCTAATCATGAAAAGGAGTTAGTGATTGTTAAATTCTCAATTTAGCAAGAAATGCGGTACAAAAACTAAACATATTGGAATGCTCTTGCTGCTTTTTTGCACATTTTATTAAACTGATTTTTGTCTTGTGGTCTTTGGATAGTAGTCTGTCAGAATCTGAAAGGGAGTTTTCTCTTACTTCCTTGCTTGTTCTGCTTTTGTGAATGTTTATTTCCAGAATCTGTAACTTGGTTATTTTGTTTACAGGGGCTCACAGAACTTTATGAATACAAGCAGAAGTACTCTGATGCAGATATTGAGCCTTTCTTGAAAAACACCTCTCAGTTCTTCCAGAGTTATGTTGAAAGAGGCCTCCGCATGATAGAGTCTGAACGGGAGGGCAAGGGAAGAATTCAGACTTCAAATACAGGTATTACTTTTGATGCAAAGGACACAATGCAAGTTTAAATCTTATGAAGGGGAAGCAAGCCTTTTATCCATGTCCAATTTTAAAACTTCACCTTTGAGAATTACTATTGATTTCATATAGCTTAAATCAATGTTTTCCATTGCTTTCCTTATTGGTTTAACACATTTAATATAAGTTTGCTAGGTTTTCTTACCTTGCTGTTGCATGTTTCTCAGGAATTCCTCAACACAGTACAGAAACTACTACATATGTGCCAACCTCAAGTTCTGTACCTGCAAATACAAATGGCGAGGAAGTTAAGCCAGCTGTGTATTTGGAGAGGTTAAAAATACTAAGACAGCGTCATGGACTGGAGAATAATTCTAAGGTATTGTTGTACTTTATTGAAATGTTTTGGGTTTCTCAGTTCTTATAGCACAATAAATCTCAATGCTCAAAGTATTAAAATGGCTTCATTAAGGTGCTACAGTGTTTGCCATATTTGTTTTCTCAATGAGAACAACACTTCTCCTCCCAAGTGCACATCAAAGACTGTGGCTTGGCTAAATTCTTCAAATCAGTAAGCTTATAGTAACCACACAATGCATCAACCTCCTTAAGTTATTTAATTTGCTCTGTACCTCTCTTCCACATTTCAATGTGTTACAAGACATCCTTAGTCCCTTATCTCTTTGTCCATGGCAGCAGCAGGAAGAGAGGCCTCCTTTGACATCTCTGCTCTCCAAGCCAACAGTACCCACAGTTGCTTCCTCCACAGACATGCTTCACAGTAAGCTTTCGCAGCTGAAGGAATCTCGGGAGCACTATCATCAGGAACTGGAGTCCAACCAATCGCATGTGCAGAGTGGAATGGGCAGCACTACCACTGCCGCTAACCTTGATGACTTGAAAAAGAGGCTAGAAAGAATAAAGAGCAATCGCAAATAAAACTACCTTCAGCCTCACTCTCAGTTGAAGTAAATTTCTTCATAGATATTGGCTCCTTTTTTGGGCCTAAGTGTATAAACCATTTTCATGTATAATAAGTGGACTTTTTTTGTTAAGTATTGTGGCACAAACTATTTGTATATACTTTAGGCTTCCTAACCACTTGAGCATTTGAAAGTCATGTTCTAGAATTAGTGTACAGTTTCTCTGTGCATACTGCTGTAATATGTGTACTCTGTCTCTTTTTAGCAGTTTCAGAATTCGTAGGCGGTTGTCTAATTTGTTTTAAACTTGTCAGTTCTGTTTGCTTGCTTTTCTTTTTTTAAGAAGTTATACTTGTAAAACTTGAAGCATTGATTCTTTTACAGAATCATGACGCATGGCATGAAGTAATACGTTTTGTAAATAAAGGTTGCATTATCTTAATTAAAACTATTAAATAGTATTGTACTGTTTGACTCTGTAGTATTGCAGTAGATTCTTCCATTATGTTTGTCCAATCTGTTAAACTCTAATACAGTAATCTGAAATACTTTACCTATAGTGAAACAGCAAAAAAGGTCACTTTCACAAGGATGGCCGAGTGTTCACCTGAAGTTGAACATTTTTCCTGGGATCATTTTAAAACATTTCACATGCTTTGTTTTGCAATTACTAGCACACAATAAGAGCTATATAGGATTGCTCAGGTCCCCAAATGTAGGGTAAAGAAATTTGGTAATTGAGCCTAGCAGAAAACCAAGTATCCAAACAGAAGTGTAACATTTAGTACAAAACAATCATTTCAACACTTTTCAAATTGAGCTCGTTTCCAACTTGCAGTAGGTGTTAATCCTTTTTTACATTTTTGATTTTGCACAAGATACTGCTGTATTTAAATGGCAAAGAAATACAAACTACAATGACTGCAGTATAGGCCTAAATGGCAAACTGTTGGCATTTCCTTTTAGAAAAATACTGGGAATGTAATTGCTTTTGAATTTCTTCAAATAAATTGGTTTGTCTTGGAAAACAGTTTGCCTAAATGTCTAAAAGTCCATCTTTTTTAGCAGTATAAAGCTATTTATGCAATATTAAAATATATGGAAGTTATTTGCATTTTTATTGTACAGATGCGATTGTGATAAGTTTAAATCTGCCACTAGGGTATTTGTAAGTTTGAACCTTTAGTGTATGAATGTGTGACCATGTTTCATGCAAGAATAAACGTTCTTACAAATTAGTTGCCTCTGGTAGTGTGCAGCAAACACCTGACAGCAGTGGGTTCCAGTCCTGGCTCTGGGCACAACTGTTACCTGGTTTGTATTCTAGCTATGCTTTGAATTTTTAAGAAAAAATGAATTTAAACTTCTTGTGAACTTTTCTGTAGTGGTTCCTCAGTTTTAAAAATATCCTCAGGAGTACAGTTTGCATTATCTTTAACCTATACCACTTTGCTTACTTTTGTTTCTGAATACGTTCTTAATTGTGATTAATGTATGATGAACTCAGGTAGGAAAGAAGAAATTAAATTTCCTTCTGCAGAGGTCCAAGATCCTTGAATGAATACAGTTCTGCAACGCAGTTTGGTGCAAGGCTCATTTGCATTACACATTTCATCTGACTATTAATTAGCATAAAGCAAAAATGAATGTGTACTCAAATATAAAACTCACAGCTTTTCATTGGCGATTAAGATCTTAGCTGCAGCAAAAAACTAAAACGATTTCCCCAGGAATAGGGTTGGGAGCCATTGCAGATCAAAATAGTGACCTTTTAAAAGCACAAGTGACAGTGGTTAGCATTACTTTCTGCAGTGCTGGGGCCCTGAGTTCAGTTCCTGCTGTGCTATCTGTATGGAGTTTATATATTCTCCCCTGTGTTTGCATGGGATTTTGCCAAGTGTTCTGGTTTCCTCCCAAAGACCAAAGAGATACTGGTGGGTTAATTAGCTTCTAGGAAAGGAGTGGTGTGAGTAACTACAGCTACAAGTTAGCAACTACTGTTACACACTGGTCTGAGTGTGTCCTGTCCAGAGTGCATCTTACTTAGCGCCCATTGCTTGCCAGTACTGCCTCTGAACCTCTATGAGCCTGAATGAATTTAACAGCAGAAATTAGTGTTTGGAAGGCAGTGCTGAAATAAAACTCGAGAGATGGAACATCTCCTTCAATGCTTCAAACCTCTTTTACAAATTAAAGTCAGAGATAAACTATTTTTGGTATTAATCAGCTGCTACTTGAAAATAGTCTTTACATCCTGCATGAGTCAGTTACGTTTTTCATTTTGGCCCCCCATTAAATTGTAGTATAGAGAGTCTTCAGTTTAATTTGCAGATTAACTGAAAACAGATTTTCAAAGAAGAAATGCTGAGCTATATGGCTCTGGATTCATTTAATGATCTCAAGTAGTTTAGGAGCAGAGAGGAGGAACATGAGTGATGTAATGTGATTCAGGTGTACAAACAGGTGTCTAATTAGCATCTGAGATTGCTGAAGTCCTGATAGCTTTTCTTTTTCATCTGGAAGTTTCCTGGTTTGTCTCTTAATTCTTTATTTTATTTATAACTTTTCAAATATCATTTGTCAAATTCAGCCGTTTGAATTTCATGGCAGATATTTAAATGATATTTAATTTGCAGTGCCTTTAAGCTGGTAAAAAATAAAGGACCTTGATTTTCAAGACATCAATATGCAGGCAAGTACACAACTTTATTCTTTAAACATTAGTAATGCTTTAAAACATATTCAGCATAATGTGCCCCAAATATAGATTTGATTACAAAATTTTTAATATGGTTTTAATAAGCATTTGGGAGCATTTTTCATACAGTTGTTTAGTAAAACTGGAAAGAGTTCTTAGAATTTGTCTATAAATATACATAAAGCACAGTTGTCACTAATTTGTAACTGTAGTTGCACCAATGCGATTAATGTGAAAAATGCTTGCATTATAAAAGTTTAATCATTGGGAGGCAGAAAAAAAAAATATTTCAAAGAGCTGTTCTTCATGAGACCTGTGAGTTTCTGTAACAAAAAGCAGCATGGAAACTGTTACAGAGCAGTCTTAATCTCCTGTGCCAAAGACAAATCTTATTTAATGAGGCAAAACAGAGCAGATAATGAGCACAAAATGCATCACTAGGTTTTCACATAGAGAAAGTTCTCTGCTTCAAAATGGCAAATGAACCTTTTGTTTCACCTTAAGAGATCAGGCAGTCTATCACTTGCTCATAACAGTTGTACTTGCAGCAATACAAAAATGTTTACAATTCTAAGATAATGTTGGTTTCCTGATTCAAAATATCTTTGTTCTTGATCAAATCACACACAGTTATGGAAAATAAATATGGAATTATTAGGACAAAGTAGGTGTACAAAAGTACATGATAGAGTATACAGTATTCAGTATAGAAATTAAATTTTGCCTATGATGTTTTGGTAACATGGCACATGTAAGCCTGTGTAAAACTATTTCAAATGTAAAGAAAATTGAGGACACAGAGTCCTTCAGAAGATCCTGAAAAAAACATTAATGAGGCGTACTATGGGTTTACATAGTTGCTGAGAAAATTGAACTGTAATCACGCATTTTGGATGACTAATCGTTTTTCACTGATTAAATTGTAGAGTATGTGAAACAAGCTGTCCTGTCAAGCTTGGTTTAAAGCTACAGTATTTTAGATGTACTAATATCAAATTACTTAACAGGTTCATTTGATGTTGTATAGTTTATTAATGTAATTCGGATTGTATAACCACGTTTATATGTCTCTTATTTATTTCCAGGGCTATTTTCCCAGTCATTATGACAGCTTGTAAATATAAATTAAAATAGCTGGCTAAACTGACTAAAATGACAGTAAGGGACTTTTTTTTGTATGTACAGGTTTTCTTCTATCCAGGTATTGTAGTCAGATTCGGCAAGTGTTTGAATTTACTATGGAGCAAATGGAACGTTTTTTTTTTTTGGGGGGGGAGTCAATTACATTGTTAGAGACAAAAAACATTTGGTAATTTAATGAAAAGGGCAGTCATCAAGTTACCAAACCACCTTAGTGTACAGTTACAGTTTTCAATAATGCTTCTTTTTTGTCCCCTTCAGGTCCTTGGAAACTCTCAAGTACTGACGTTTCTCGTAGTGCTTACAGGTAGGAATGTGGTTAATATGTTTTCCTGTCGCACTCTGCTTATTCCTTTGATTTACTGAGATGGCTGTGTTTAAGGGAAAGGAGTATGTTTTGACTTTTCCTGGGGAAAGATTGTGTGTGTCATGACTGAGCTGAAGGAAAGAGAAAAGCACATTCTGAAACAATCTGTCAGAATTTCAATGGGTTTTTTTCTGTGCCCTAAAAAGATCTGTAGATATCAAGGACTGAACAGTGGCATGGCATTTTTTGATGTAGCTCTCCGGTGAACCAGTTTAATAAGCCTTTATATTTCATCACTGATGCAGTGGCTTTGGAAAACTACATTGGAACATTTAACTCCCACATTCTGAATTATTTTTGCCAGTACTCCTTTCATTTTTAACCTATGATCTTATGTTCTGGTATTTCATTTATTTCTAAATTTGTGAGTTTCACTTTATTTCTTTTTTGTGATTGACCTTGCTGCAGTGACAGTTGCAGCTTTGTGATTTATTATTGAGGTAAGTTGATGGGAGGGAAAAATAATTTTCCAGAGTGGTTTCTCACAAAATTTGCTGAGCTGACCCTTGGTTCTACAGAATCGTTTTTGAAAACTGGAAGGAAATCACACTCAAAAAAGCACATAGAAATTAAAGGCCTAGATAAAGGGTAATGTTCTAAACAATACCCGTCTGGTGATTCTGCTCGTTAGTCTTCTCTGTTATTCTTTGATCCATTTGTAAAAGCTCTAGCAAGTAATGAAAACATAACACAGAATCAAAATGAGAGGAGTCCATTCAGCCCATTTAGCTAGTTAGGCTGGTAGTAGCTAATTTATCCGAAAATTTCAACCGGACATTTCTTGAAAGAAGCCAGGATACTGCCTTCAACGGCATAACCACACAGCTCGTTTTACACTCCCATAACCCTTTGGATAAAGAAGAGATTCCCGTTCTTGGTTTTAAAGTCTCTTCAATGTAGTTTCCTCTGGTTTATTTTTCACAGTTTTCTGTGCACTGCTCTACTGAAGAGGAACTCATTTTTTAGGCTTCAATTGTTGATATAAATGTCCATGTCTTTGGCAAATATAAGTAAATCAGGTTACACTGGGCATACCAGGGACATATCTGGGTGGCCGATTTAATCCCAAAATGCTAGCATATTTTTTTGCTGGAAATGTAAGGAGTTTGGGGTATAACACAAGCCTTATCAATGTTTTTTTTTTTTGAGAATGTAGAAAAATCTTCTTTGATAAATATAGTCTCTTTATAGTTTTTTTTAAATTGATTAATTTGTAAATTTAGACTATATATTGATACCAGTGGTATATACAGAGTTTTAAATTACTGTATGTACAGTATAATCTTTAGAATTTAGAACTGTAAATTCATAAGAATTCTGATATTTCTAGCCTGTGAAGATAAAGCCTCTCTTTTTCTTTCTCCATCACTATTAGTCATCGTTAGGATGCCTTTCTGACATTTTGTTTACCAAAATACTTTGAGTCAGAATAGAATTTTAAAACTTTCCTTCTGTTGAAAGATGGTAATGTATGCACTCAGTATTAAGCCTTTGTTTAGGTTAAGTTTTAAATAAATAATAATCACTTTATTATCCTGGAAGGCAGCTTGTGTTATCCTGCAGAGGTTTAGTAATAACAAAAAATGTTTGGATTTTGTTATTGTGATGCTATTTTTTAGTATGACTTATATTGTTACTTTTTGTTTTAAGATAAAAATGTCCCTATTTAGCTTTTGTTAATATCCAACTTGCAATGATACCCACCACCAACTCAGTAAGATGTTTATACTGCTATGAACAGTACTTGGGTACATTCAGGTCTTGTCTCAAAGTGTACATGCAGTACACATGGAGCCATTTAATCATCTTAGTCATTTTTTACATT